ATCTTGAGGATATCTGCATTTAGAGTGGTATCCTTAAAAAGGGAACAAGTTGGGTGTGGTCTCCCACACCTGGAATACCAGTGCTTGGGAGGCTGAGGCAGGAGGATTATCCGTTTGTGGTTATCCTGAGCTACACAGTAAAACCCTGTCCACAAAGGGGGACAGGGAGGGGAAGCAGGGTAGAGGGGCAGGGAGGCAGTGGCCCATCAAGATAGAAGTAGGTATTAGAGAATACAGGCACAAGTCAAGGTCATCTGGGGCCAACTCTGGAAAGACCCTTCCCAGAGTCTTAAAAGAGGGAGCAAGGCTCTATGCCACCTGCCAACCCTGATTTCCGGTCTCATTTTATGTGTAGACAGCTCATCTTTGCCCCATACTACTTCTTGGGTCTCTGCTGGACTTCTCCACCAGAGGACATGCAGGTTGGGCTACGTGATGGGCACTGTGGGGCCCAGATAGCAGAATGAGCTACAAGGCCCTTGAAGGCTCAGTCAGTGTCTCCTTGTTGATCAGGGCAGATACAGCGTACCCAGACAGGAAGGGTGGGAGCCAAGCTGTACTTCCGAGCAGCAGCAGCCAAGGCCCCATGCCATTTGCTATCCAGACAGTTGCTGCTCATGACTCAAATCACCACAGAGGGACACCTGAGGAGGCTCTGGCTGGTTGGGAAGCCTGCAGCACCCCTCAGTCTGCCGAGGCATTTTCTGTCCCTAGACACAGGATGAGTGTCTTCCTGCTTCTATTTCAACAAAAGCAGGAAAGAAACAGGGGAATCTCTGTGTGCAGAGAAGGGAAGTGGAAGAGGGACGTCTACAATGCTTTGACAGACCTGGTAGTGGCTTTGAGGATAAGCTGATAGCAAGGGTCCCTTCCTTGTGTGTTCTTGAAGCTCTGCAGGAGCTGGAAGCTAGGCTCCTGGAGCAAAGGTGCCAGGTCTGAGTGGGGAACAGAGCCAAAAGGTGGGAAGGGGGACTCTGTACCCCAAATCTTGGTCTCCATTCTCAGCCCTGCTTCCAGAAAGTCCTGGGAGTAGCCAGGCAGCAGAGGATGCCCATAGGCAATCAGTGACAGATGACTGCCAACAGGAGACAGATTGTGGAGTCCCAATAAGGACAGGCTTTACCCCACAGGCAAATGTGCCAGAAGAGAGCACCCAGGAACAGAGGAAAGCTGGCTTGCTGTGCTGTCTGGGAAATGTCACCAGTCAATGGGGACAGATGTTGGAAGACGGGAAGAATTCAGAAACAGAAATTGGGAAACAACACAGTGCAGATGTGTGCTCTGCACAGCACTGCAGCTCCTCCATGCTCCCTACGTCCAGACTGGGCTACTGAGGGGAGAGGCCAGCAATACCCCAAATGGTTATCAGAAGCCCAAACAACTCTTTGGAAATGGCCAGGAGAGAAGCATGGAGTTCAGTTTAAGGCAGGGCAGGGCTGCTATCCTTTCAAGTGAAGAACCCATTCAAGCCTGGGACTTGTCACCTCATTCATCCCACACCCATGTGCACTCATTAGGTATCTGTTAGGGCCAGACCCCTGAAGTTTCTGGGGAACAGCCTATAACCATTGGCCCTGTACTGGAGGCAATCACAGCCCCATGCTGCCTGTGACCCTTCCGTGATGCAAGGCAGCAGTAACCACCTCAGAAATGGCACAGTAAGCATCTGTGAAGATGCTGCTGCATAGCTGGGCATGGTGGACCATGCCTTTAGTCCTAGCACTCGGGAGGCAGAGGCAGGTGGATCTCTGAGTTTGAGGCCAGCATGATCCACACAGCAAGTTCCAGGCCAGCCAGGGATACACAGAGAAAGCCTGTCTCAAAACCTTACCCACCTTAAAAAAAAAAAAATGCTTCTGTTGCTAGGTAACTGGCCATCTCTGGCTCCTACTTGTGGGGAATCCAGTGGAGGTAAGTCTGTGGGAACTGGGGTGGACTGGGGTGTGAGCAACCGGAGAGTGGGAATTCTGTTGCAGAGAGTTTCTTCTAGGGATGGAATTGTGAAGAAAATAGGCAGTGGGGATGGTTGCACAACCTTGGAAGTCTTACACAATGCAGTGGCACACTATTAACTATTTTTTATTTTGTTTTTGAAACAGAGTCTCATGTAGCTCAGGGAGGCTTCAAACTAGAACTGAGGATGTGACCTTGAAATTCTGGCCCTCCTGCCTCCACCTTCGAAATATGACTACAGGCATGTGCCACCCTGGATCACTACTTCATGTACTGCTATGGATGGAGCCCAGAGCCTTGCATGTGCCAAGCAAGTGCTTTGCCATCATGCCACACCACAGCCCGAGATAGTACGACCTGTTTTCCTTTTAAGTATGTGGGTGTTTTGCCTGCATGTGTGGCTGTGCACCATATGCATGCAGTGTCCTGGAGGCCTGGAGAGGACATTGGATCCCCTGAAACTTGAATTGTAGACTGCTGTTAGTTGCCAGGTGGGTGCTGGGAATTGAACTCAGGTCCCCTGGAAGGATATCCAGTGTTCTTAACAGGTGACCTGCCAGCACCCCCCTCTTACTTATTTTGTGTATGGGTGTTTCCCCTACACGTATGTGTGCACTGTGTGCGTGCAACAATAGTGTGGCTTTAAATGAGCTTCTTCACGACCTGCAAACACTCATCCCTGAACCAATGACAGACCAGGTGCCTTTGTGCAGAGACTAAGTCAGTCTTCTCTCCAAGAACACCAGCTGGGGAGGAAACCAGCTTCAGAAACAACCCTCCTGAGCTGGTCCCAGGATGATGAGCAAACATGCTCTGGGGCATGGTCCTGAAGCTGGCTTTCTGGCATCAGCAAGACTGTACCTCAGTAGCCTGTATGACTGAGTCCAGGCCAAGGACTGTTGGTGGTTCCAGGACACAGGGCAGCTCCGAGGGGTCAGCCCACCTCCAGGCCCTAGAGAGGCATTCTGAGGTCTCTAAAGCACAGCGGCCACAAAGATGAAAGCCAGTGGTGGATAATTAATGCTCTCAGGCCTGGCCTGACTACAAAACCCTTTTTGGTGGCCTGAAAGAGAAAGCCACAGACATGAGACCCGCCCTGGCCTCCAGAACGCCAGGACCTTTGAAATTATAAGACATTAGAATAAAGCTTCACAGAAAAGGACCCTGTGTTCCAGCTGCAGATCAAAACGGAATTGCTCCTGAAGGCTGAGGGTGAGCTTGCTGTTGAAGCAGCCCCACCCCAACATACAGAGGGACACTCGTCCATGTGCCAGAAGCATGACTAACCTCACTCTAGGGCAGAGGTCTCCTCAAAAGATGGGGCTTCTTGTTCCATCTGTCTCCTCATTGAACTTCTAAGGCCCTCAAGGCCACACTAAGGCATCAGCTTCCCTGGGGAACACTCTGGGACATACGGTCCCTACCCCATACATCCTGGGGTCATTCTCCAAAGTGCAGTGCTGGGAGGGGTAAAGTGGTCCTTGCTGGGGAAAAAGGTTGGCGTTGACTCACAGGTCAGGTAAGTCTTGGTGAGCTGAGCCTTTGGCTAGGGCAAGGCAGAGTGGTGGCAGTTCCTGTCACCAGGGATAGGTACCCTGCCATTCTTTCATATACCTTGCTGAGCTGAGGCCACCTATCAGGAATAATGCCAGAAATTCAAGGTTCACATCTCCTTTGGTTGACAACTTGCTGGCGCATCCTTGACGCACAGCCAGAGGCTGTGTGCCTGGGTCGGATATTGGGTGCATTCAGTCGTGAAGCTCAAGGCTGCCTTGGTGTTCAGCCCCCACAGAGCTCAGCACAGCGTTGTTCTGGGAACAACAGGGAAGGAGCTGGCCCTCGCTGTTTTCCTCAGTCAGCTGGCACTGGAGAACAAAGTTATGTCCACTGCACCCTGCCTCCCTGACATGCTAGCACAGTAGATGGCACCAACAAGGCTCTGCAGGACTGTGGGCAGACCCAGCCCCCACAAGAAACCAAGGGCTGCTCTGTCGCAAATACTGCCATGCACGGGAAGCCCAGCCGTGGCTCTGCTGCTCTGTTTGCTACCTTCAGCCAGCAGCACTGTCCTCCTACTAATGAGGTGTTAATTAGCACAAATGAGTCAACCTCAGCAAACCAGTCAGCAAGGGTGACAGGCATACCAAGCACTGGGGAGCAGTTCAGGTACCAGGTGGTACAGAGTACCCATCACCCTAGGCCAGGGGGTGGGGGCAGTCAGGTGGCACAGAGTACCCCACCACCCTAGGCCAGGGGGTGGGGGCAGTCAGGTGGCACAGAGTACCCCACCACCCTAGGCCAGGGGGTGGGGGCAGTTAGGTGGTACAGAGTAACCATCACCCTAGGCCAGGGGGTGGGGGCAGTTAGGTGGCACAGAGTACCCATCACCCTAGGCCAGGGGGTGGGGGCAGTTAGGTGGCACAGAGTACCCCACCACCCTAGGCCGGGGGGTGGGGGCAGTTAGGTGGCACAGAGTACCCCACCACCCTAGGCCAGGGGGTGGGGGCAGTTAGGTGGTACAGAGTAACCATCACCCTAGGCCAGGGGGTGGGGGCAGTTAGGTGGCACAGAGTACCCCACCACCCTAGGCCAGGGGGTGGGGGCAGTTAGGTGGCACAGAGTACCCATCACCCTAGGCCAGGGGGTGGGGGCAGTTAGGTGGCACAGAGTACCCCACCACCCTAGGCCGGGGGGTGGGGGCAGTTAGGTGGCACAGAGTACCCCACCACCCTAGGCCAGGGGGTGGGGGCAGTTAGGTGGTACAGAGTAACCATCACCCTAGGCCAGGGGGGTGGGGGCAGTTAGGTGGCACAGAGTACCCCACCACCCTAGGCCAGGGGGTGGGGGCAGTTAGGTGGTACAGAGTACCCCACCACCCTAGGCCGGAGGGTGGGGGCAGTTAGGTGGCACAGAGTACCCCATCACCCTAGGCCAGGGGGTGGGGGCAGTTAGGTGGCACAGAGTACCCCATCACCCTAGGCTGGGGGGTGGGGACAGTTCAGGAGTGTGCTCCAAATTGGTGCGAAAACAAAGACATTGACACGCTCAAGTATTTCCAAGTACTTTCTCTCAGGTGTTCAAAGCTGCCCACACTTGATAATAGGTTTGTGTTTGCTTCCGGTGACCGCTGGCCACCCTTGCCCCATGCTGGCCCAGGGGCATGCAGCCCTGTGCCCACTACCACCTGAAGGGCTGGCGGCCCTGCTCCAGCTCGGTGTCCATGTGAGCATCGTGCAGCACCTTCAGGTGCAGAAGCAGCTGCTCCAGGTTCTCTCCAGTCAGTGCTGACAAGGCGATGACTTCCTGTCCTAGGCGGGCTTGGAGCTGGGGCAGGTGGGCTCTGGCCTGCGGGAGATCAATCTTATTTGCGATGATCACATGGGACCTCTCAGACAGGCCTTCTTCATACTTCTCTAGTTCATATTTTAAATCATTAACCTGAGTCCACGGCTCAGGCAAGGAAAGATCTACCACAAACAGGAAGAAGTGACAACGTTCAATATGCCTGAGGAAGCTGAGCCCCAGGCCCTTGTTCTGGTGTGCGCCTCGGATGATGCCTGGGATGTCTGCCACTGCAAGAGGTAAGAGCTTACAGTCAGGTCCAGGGTCATGTTCAGCTTCCCAGTGCCACTCTTAACCTTGGGATCAGGAGGCTCCCCTCAGGAGGCCCCTTCTGGCCCAGATCTCATGTTCTACACCTTTCCTTTCAAGGAACACTTGAAATTGAAGCCGTTTATCCTCCCCTGGTGACTGAGCAAGTCAAGTGATATGAAGGCACTCGAGCTCTCACTCAGGTCTGCAACGCTGCTCTCAAATATTTGGGTGATAGGCACGGTGGATCAATCTAATGAGGAAGATTTAACACATTCCTGTCTCCAGGCTTCAAACATGGTTCAGAAAAGGGAGATGGCTCCCTGCATTCTATGGCTAATTTGATTATGGATACAAATCACTATCGTGCACTTTGCAGATATAAAGTGCTGTACAAATAACCTTACCAGCAGGCTTGCTATTTTTAATGGGTACATTATCTTCTGGAAAAAAGTTTTCCTCTTAAAATGGTACAGGAAAGGCTTTTTAAACCACATGCTGTCTGCATGACTGATGCCGCCCAGTTCCACAGGAGAATGAGGAAGGCAAGAGGCAGTCCTCTTCTCAAGCTCCAAACTCAAGATTACAGTTCCTAACTAAAGAGATCAGATTTCTTGGCTGGGAGGGGAGGGGCTGATTTTGACAAAGAACAGACTCATTAAAATTGTTTCAATCAGGGAAAACAATGTCTCATTTTAAGTGGGAAGCTAAACTCAGGGGTTACATAATTGCTCTCCTGAATCACTGGGCCATTTAAATCCATCCTCTGGCAGGGTTTTAGAGGCTCTACCTGCTACCTGTTGGTGGCCTTCATAGTGAACGATCCCCACGTGAGGATTCAAGGTGGTGAACGGGTAGGAAGCTACAGCAGGTTTTGCATTTGAAATGGCTCGAAGGAGAGAAGATTTCCCAGCATTGGGGAAGCCAACCTAGGAAAAAAAAAAAAGTAAAAGTGCTATATGACTTCATGGAGGGACAATGTCAATGCCACCAGTAGTTGGCACAGATAGAGGGCTGAGCTTGGGTAGGTGAGGATGCAGGCTCCTGCTCTACAGCAGCATACACAAGGGAAATGAAAGAAAGCTCCCGCTTTCCCCTGGGAGGCAGCATGCCCCACCACCAGAGCATACCCCACCAGCAGGGACCCACCACCTCAGGATGTGGCACAGTCAGGGACCTACCATCCCAGCATGGGCCACTGTCTTGAGCTCCAGGTAGAGGACCCGCTCCTGACCCGGTTGTCCAGGGGTGCAAGTTACAGGGGCACGGTTGTCATTGGCCAGGAAAAAGCGATTGCCTTTTCCTCCTGCACCCCCCAGTGCAGCAATGTACTCGTCTCCTGGGTGAGATAGGTCAGCCACAACCTCACCTCCCTCTTTCACCAAGGTACCCACAGGAACCTGAAAAGCATCATCATCATCATCATCATCATCATCAACTTCTGTTCTATAACCAGCAGCAGGAAGAGGGGTAGGGCACTGCTAACCACTCTCCTCTGCTGCCACCACGAAGAAAATGTCCCAGCCCTGGAGAGATTTTATGGGCCTAGTCTTATGCTCATACTGGATAAGTAAGCTGTCATAGTAACACTTGCCTTCCAGCACTCAGGGGGCTGAGGCAGGAGGATTACAAGTTCAAGGACAGTCTGGGTCACACAGTGAGGCCCTGTCACAACAGCAAACACCCACCTGCACAAGGGTTCTTTTGAAGTGCTGCTACAGCATCAGAATCAACCAAGCAGCAGGGAAACAGTCTGTGTGAGCATGCTGCCCTCACCTAGACATGGGAAGGGGTATGTTCTTGGCTCCCTTTTAGGGTCATTCCTTTAGACTCTTGGGTCAGAAGCAACATGGCACCATACCAGTGCAAAGGAGTGTGTGTGGGGACATGGCTCCTAAGACAGACCACTGTCCACTTGCTGGTCACCTTCTGTTCCTAGCCAGGTGCCTTCAGTCATCCATGGACTCAGTGACTAGGACCCAAGGGAGCAGCGGCCACTCCAGCCCCTCAGCTTACCTGGACGTAGAGGGCGGCCCCACTTCGCCCAAAGCAGTTTTTACTGCCTCCATCTTCTCCACTGAGACCCTGGTACTGGGACGAGACCGCGGACAAGGACTTCACCTGCTGGTCAACTAGGAGGAGAACAGAGTCTGTGTTCCTGTGTGTTGACATAACTGCTAAGCAGGAACAGGGAGGGGCCTCAAACCTGTCACCCTTGCACTCCCATGGCCTGGGTTATGGCTGGATGCCCACACTCTCCATGATCCTAAGCGAAACAGAATATGACATTTTTTTCCCTTTGAGACAGGATCCCTATGTATCCCTGTAGCCCTGGCTGGCCTGAAACTTGCAACAGGAAGGGATCACCATATGAAGCAAATATGACTATCATCAATAAAGAAAACAAAAACAAAAAGTCACCTAAGGGGCTAAAGAGAAGGGCCAGTGATTAGGAGCACTGGCTATTCTTCCAGAGGACCCAAGTTTGATTCCCAGTATCTAATGGCAGCTCACAACTGTCATAATTCCAGTTCCAGGAGATCTGATGGTCTCTGCAGGGTACACACACAGACATACACTTAGGCATAGTACCCATACACATGAGAATAATAAAAGAAACCAGCTAACTTCATTATGCTTTGAAGATGCCTGCACCCAGCTCCCTGAGTATTCATGACAAGCATGTGCTCAGTAGAACCTTGGTCCTCTGCTGAACTTTCTGACCCTGTTATATGTGCTATCATGAGGTTCTTGATGGGAAACTGTGTTTCTGAGATTAAAAAACAAAAATGACATCCAAAGTCATTTGCCTTAGTACACTGGTGATAAGCAGCCATATAGTTCATAAAAATGCTGTCTATACATCAAGTATTTGAATGCAAATGCATGACAAGATAAGACAGTGGACCCTCCACCCACTATGTATAGGCTGTCTCCTCCCCCGCTGCTCCCAGGGCACATGCCTCTCAGAATGATGTGTCCACCATTTCCTCCATCCCCGCCATCAGGACCTCCAAACTCCTTTCGGGGTTCACTGTGGAAACAGCTCATGCCGGAGCCTCCATTTCCTCCACGGACTAGAACTCTCCGGTGATCCACAAAATGTCTTTTCTACAGAGAATATAAGGCACCCAAGGATGTTAGCAACCCTGAAACCCTTCCAGGAGATAACATACATGCAGGCAACACACACACATAGCACTCACTTGATACATGCCTCTCTACCACATCAGAAGTGAACTATGATAACATGATCACAGAGCTCTCCAAAAGCCACAGGGGAGGTCCAGCTCCCACAGGTCACCAGCACCCGAGGGCTGAGGCAAATCACTGCAGACACAACGGGTGGCTGGTATGGCATGCACACTTCAAAAGGGAACTCAGAAATTCTAACCTGGAGAGCACAGCTTGTTTAGGAAATGTTTTCTGAACAAAGTGTCCTTCCAGCTTCTTTCAGACAGAATTGCATTGCTAAAACACCAGGTCTGTCTTTACCAGTGGAAAATTGCTGCTGCTTAGGATGGAATGAGGTGGAGTTCTTGGACAATGCCCAGGCTTTAGCTATGAGGAAAGACTAACTCCCCAATGTTACCACCTGAGGGCTTATGTGTGAAATGCAGAAAGGGAGACAGGATCCTTCTCAGGAAGGTTCTCATTAGGCCCTTAATACAGTGAAAGAATAAGAATTACCCAAATGGGCTGGAGAGATGGTTCAGCAGTTAAGAGCACTTGCTGTTGTTGCGAAGGACCTGGGTTCGATTCCCAGTTCACAGACATCTGTAACTACAATCCCAGGGCATCCAAAGCCCTCTTTTGACTTTTGTAGGCACCAGGCACGCATGTGGCGCACATACACACATCTGGCAAAACACTCATATACATCGGTGCACATAAGCTCACCCTCCAGCTGCAGCTGCAGTTCCCACCTCCATTCCCAGCATTGGGTTTTTAAAATATTTATTTATTTTATGTGTATATGTGTGTGTGCCTGACTATATGCATATGTACCATGTATGTGCAACGTCTGTGCCAGATCCCTTGGAACTGGAATTACAGGTAGTTGTAAGCTACTCTGTGGGTGCTGGGAACCGAACCCAAGTCCTCTGCAAGAATAATAAATGCTCTGAACCACAGAGCCACTGCTCCAGTCCCCAAGACTGGGTTGTTTCTTAAGGAAAAAAGATGCCCAGCCTGGTGCAGAGCTCAGCAGTACAACATTCACTCATCATGTTTAAGGTCCCAGATTTGATGCCCTGCACCACAAAAATAAATAAAAAGTCCCCCAAACAAACATCCTAGGATTCCTTGGCAGCAGGAGGAAAACCATGAGCTGCTACTTCGAAACAATGCAGGTTTGCGCTGTGCCAACAAAACCAGAATTCACCTGTGCCAACAAAAACAGACTCCGCCTCATAGGAAAAAGCACAGGCTGGACACCAGGAAAGACCTAGCACAAGCATGAGCAGTCAGGAGGGAAGAGCCCTGAGGAAACCTAGGTGCTATGTCCCTCAGCCTGGCTGCCAAAGTTCTTTTCCCCAGGAAGCACGGCTTTTTCTCAGCTGCTCACCTAGAGCCCCTCCACTAGGAGGAAATGAGGTGAGTCCTAATGTGTAACTTCTGTAGTCAAAAACCACCAAAGGTTCTGGCAAACAGCATAAAAACTTCCTTAAACGGCTGGGAGAGACAGTCAAGAATCTGCCTGGAAGCATAATGGCCTGGGTTTGATCCCTAGAACCCACATAAAAGTGCTGGTGTGGTAGCATACGTTTGTAATTCCCGCGCTTTACAGCAGATGGGGAAGCTCTGCAGCTCACTCCAGGCCCATGAGAGACTCTGTCTCAGAGGAAGTAGATAGTGTTCCTGAGGATGACACAGAGATGCCCTCTGGCCTTCATATACACAGTACCTGCATATAAACATGCACCTACATGCAGTATACAAACAAACTAACAAACAATATCTTATTCATTATAAGCCTTAAAGAACTTAAAACTAAAGATATACCCAGTCCCCAGGTTCAAAACGGAACATGAATATTCAAAGACACCTAACTGCAAATAAATAAAATAAATGTATGTAAAAATACTTTCAGGAGAACTAGGCATGGTGGCACATGCATTTAATCCTTACACTAGGGAGGTGGAGACAGGAGGATCAGGATCCACAGGGAGTTAAAGGGCACCTGGATGGCATGAGCCCCAGTCTCAGAAACTAAAATAAGGTTTTAAGGCTGGGATTTACTTCAGTGGTAGAGCACTTACTTGCCTAGCATGTAAAGGCCCTGGCTTCTATCCCTAATATCCTAAACCAATCAATCAAATCAGTGCCTAACTCCACCTGCCCTTGACTCCTCCTGGGCTATTGTGTTGCTGGCAAGCTTTTGGCACACAGGGTCCTTTTCAAGAGCACCATGCAACCCTCAGTAGCACAATCAGGGAAAGCTATGGTGGGATAAAGAATGCAAAGATTGGCACTGGAGAAACAGCTGAGCAGTTAAGAGTACTTGCTGCTCTTCCAGAGGACCCACATTTGGATCACAGCACCCACCTCTGGTAGCACACAACTGCCTGTAATTCCAAGGGATCCTACCCTTTACTCTGACCTTTATAGGCGGGGACACACACACACACACACACACACAACTTAAATGTGTCCTCCATAGGCTAAGACTCACCAGTTTTTTCTCTGAGAGCAGCTTCTTTCCAGAGGCCTCTTGGTGCTTAGCATGGTCTACAATGCCCAGAGAGAACAATCTAGATGATGCCTGCAGTGAATGGAGCTGGCTGGGCTTCAGGGCAGCCCATGTGGATGGAGCCCACTTTGAAACACCCAACACAGTGGAGGACCTTGCCAAAAGAAGTCTGGTAGGTATCATGGCCCTAACAAAAGTAAGAAGGATCCAGTAAGACACTTGGGTTAAACTTGAACTTCTGACAGGCGCTAGAGCAGAGCCTGGCACATGGCAGAATCCAGAATGAACTGATCTGCTGGACCCCAGAGTGCAAGGGGGCTTCTGGTGTCCATCAGCCTATCTGCACTCAGGCCAGGATCTGTGCACACAGGATTCAGATAATTAAATCTCTTGCAACAGTGAGTGAATCTCCCTGGAGAATATAATCTCCCTGCTTAGTGAGAATATTAAAAGGGAATCTAAACCTCAAATCAGAATTTCTCTAAAAAAAAAAAAACAAAACAGCCATTTGTTGAACTGTTATTGAAGAGTGTGCTCTTGGGCAGCTTAAAACTGTTAAACAGGAGCACTTGGGAGGCAGAGCCAGGTGGATCTCTGTGAGTTCAAGGCCAGCCTGATCTACAGAGCAAGATCCAGGACATGCACCAAAACTACACAGAGAAACCCTGTCTTGAAAAACCAAAAACCAACCAACCAACCAACCAAACAAAAAACCCTGTTAAACAGGAAGACAAAATCACTGAACAATGGCAAACACACACTCAGACAAATGTCACCTTTGCCACTCTCCTGGGATGACCCAGGGAGGTCACACAGCTGCTGCCTCAGTTTTATCTGAAAGTGGAAAGGCAAGGACAGGCCAACCCACACGGGAGCACTGTGGCTTGTGTCCTACTGTGAATACAATGAACAGCTTCTGCACGGTCTCAGTCCTCTGTTCCTCACACAGCTCTCATCCTTTCAATTTCCTGAGATGAGAGTGATGGGGGCATCTGACCCAAAGCCACTGAGCCCGAGGACTTTTGTTCTAATGAGATGATGTGGGCTCCTGCACAGCTTCAGGATGAGGGCTGTCTTCACAAAGACCAGCCAACACTGAAGCCTGAACTCCTACCACACACCCTGTAGCAGGAAAAGCAGCTAGGGATATAAAGGTATGCCCCTGTGACAGCACACCCACAAATCACTAGGCCACAGCATGCTGGGCCATACACCCCAGTTCAAAGGTCTCTCTGCCTGACTACTTCACAGGGACCTAGGGAGGCACCCTGAATCCTGCTCCTTCATCTACCTCCAGTTTATTCATTTATACATGCACACCTTCCTAGTCAGTCCTCAAGCTAGTGGCAGTAGTCTGAGACTCCAGCAGCAGTTCATCCTGGAGTTCCAGGTCCTCCTGGCTTGTGCTGTGGGTCTCAACACCTTTCCCTGTTCACAGTGGCCCCAGCCATGTCTTCCTCCAACACAGCCCTGCAGACAGCCTCACCTCCAGGAACCCTGGGACCCACATCTAGATACCCTGTGACACTGCTGTCCCCTTTGATGGACACAGCTAAGAGTGTACAAGCACCCTTGTTTCTCCTTCACACTCCATACTTACACTTTTAGTCAGGTCTACACTGCCTGCCTGCCTGCAAGCGCACACCCCCCTCCCCCTGCTGAAAACTAAAAGTTCACATAATGTGGTGGTTTGAATGAAAATGGTCCCCATAGGCTTATAGGGAGAGGCACTATTGGGAGGTGTGTCCTTGTTGGAGGAAGTGTCACTAGGGGCGGGCTTTGAATTTTGAGATGTGCAAGCCAGGCCCAGTGGCTCATTCTCTCTTCCTGCTGTCTGCTGATCCAGATGTAGAACTCTTACCTACCACTCCAGCACCATGTCTGCCTGCACGCCACCATGTTTCCTACCATGATGATAATGGACTGAACCTCTGAACTGTAAGCCAGCCCCAATTAAATGCTTTCCTTTATAAGAGTTGCCGTGGTCATGGTGTCTCTTCACAGCAATAGAAACCCTAACTAGGACACATATCCATTCCTGCAGTCCAGTATTGCTCAAATGATTTGTTTTGTGACTTCCTTTCTCCCTACAGTTTTTCTTCATGTATCTAGTAACCAGTCTAGCCTCATGGCCCATTCCCTCTTCTCCCCATGCCGGGCCACCACTTATGGGAGATACATTCCTCCTCCTACCCTTCTATTAAAGTGTCCCTCCACCCCCAAAGACAGAGTTTCTCTGTGTAGCCCTGGATGTCCTAGAATTTGCTTTGTAGACCAGGCTGGCCTTCAACTCAAAGTTTTTTTTTTGTTTTCTTAAAATTTATTACTGTATTTTATAAGTATGGGTGTTTTGCTTACATGCATGTGTAGTACATGCATGCATATACTACATGTGTACCTAGTGCCTATGGTTGTAAAAGTGGATATTGGATCCCTCAGAACTGGAGTTACAGTTGTGGATACCAGGTGGCTCCTGAAAATGGAAGTCTAGTTTTCTGGAAGACTGTAGATGTAATTTTAACCACTAAGCCCTCTGAAAAGCTTTTTGTTTTTGTTTTAATTTCTACCAGTGCCAGGGACTGAACCTGGGGCCCACATACTCAAGGAAAATGCTTTACCACTGAGCTATAAATAACCCCAGCCCTGTCTATAAAAGTATTTTTTTTAATTGTTTTGTTTTGTTTGGTTTTTCAAGACAGGGTTTCTCTGTGTAGTTTTGGTGCCTGTCCTGGATCTTGCTCTGTAGACCAGGCTGGCCTTGAACTCACAGAGATCCATCTGGCTCTGCCTCCCAAGTGCTGGGATTAAAGACTTATGCCACCTCCACCCGGGTGAAAGTAGTTTTTTAAAGTAAATTACTTTGAAATGACAAATTCACCGTAAGTGACAAGTACTTCACATGCGGTACTCTGAGACTCACTCAATAGCTTGTGTCAAATGGACTGTTTTTCTTTTTTTGAGACAGGGTTTCTCTGTGTAGCTTTGATGCCTGTCCTGGATCTCGCTCTGTAGACCAGGCTGGCCTTGAACTCACAGAGATCCACCTGCCTCTGCCTCCTGAGTACTGGGATTAAAGGCGTGTGCCACCACCGGCCGGCTCAAATGGACTTTTTTTTTAGTTATTGTTTTTTGAGATACAGTTTCTCTGTGTAGTCCTAGCTGTCCTGGAACTTGCTCTGTAGACCCAGCTGGCCTCAAACTCAAGAGATTTGCCTGTTTCTACCTTCCAAGTGTGGAGACTAAAGGTGTACACCATCATTGCCTGGCAACCAAATGGACATATCTTTAAAGATTCAAATAAACAAGAACAAACAGCCCTACATTTCCTCAAGAAATTGCATTTTCTAGGAAACAATATTCTCAAATTTCAGACTTGGTGGTAAATTCCTGGTAAATGCTATCAAGAAATAACTCCAAATTTACACATACTAGATCACTATCCAATGTACTTTATGAGATCAATGTAGCCCAGAACCAAAACCTAGCTTTCACAGAAAGCAGAATTAGAGGCCAGTAACCAGCAGGGTCTGGTGTGAGAGAACGAGGCCACCTCTATAGCTGGGTCCCAGCTGGTGTGTGTGGCACACCGGTTGGGACCTTCTTGACCCAGTAGGGAAACCCATTCCTCGGCAAACAGGAAGGGAAAGGCACAGGGCAAGTGGCCAGGCCCAAGCATGCACCACTTCATATGAAAGCATGAACGGTACCCCTGAGATTTAAGGGGGGCAGGGATGCCCAAGTTCACCCCTGCAAACTGGCATTTAAATGCTACAGTGGTCAAAAATGAGGAAGCTGTGGGGCTAGAGATGGCTCAGTGACCAAGAATGTACTGCTCTTGCAGAGGACCCAAATTCAGTTCCCAGTACCCATATCAGGCAGCTTAACCATTTGTAACTCCAATACCTTGTACTGGGCTCCATGGAAATATGCTCTTGGTGTATACACCCACAGATAGACAGACAGACAGACACACACACACACACATATAATTTTAAAAATCTTTAAAAAAGAGGAAGAGGTAAAACTGTTAATACTTGCAGGAGAGAAGACTGCCTGCACAGAAAACCCCAGGAAAGTTTGTAAGGCAGTCTACAGGGCTGATTTAGAACATCAAGTATTCTTATATGCCAGCAGCAAACAATTAGAAATGAAAATTAAGAAAGCAAAACTGGCTGGGAGGTGGTGGCGCACGCCTTCAATCCCAGCACTTGGGAGGCAGAGGCAAGTAGATTTCCGTGAGTTCAAGGCCAGCCTGGTCTACAGAGTGAGTTCCAGAGAAGTCAGGGCTACACAGAGAAAACCTATCTCAAAAAAGCCAATCCATCCATCCATCCATCCATCCATCCATCCATCCATCCATCCATCAATAAACAAATAAATAAAAAAAAGAAAGAAAGCAACTCCTTTTACCCAGCGCCACATATGAAAAGCACTTAAAGGTAAATTAAAAGTACATTTAAAAAAATTTATTTTAGCTAGGCGGTGGTGGCACACGCCTTTAATCCCAGCACTCAGAAGGTAGAGGCAGAGGCAGGAGGATCTCTGGGAGTTCGAGGCCAGTCCTGGCTACAGAGCAACATCCAGGACAGGCACCTAAACTACACAGAGAAACCCTGTTTTAAAAAAAAAAAAAATTTATTTTTGCGTGTTTTGCCCACATGTATGTATGTATACCACATGAACACTAAGTGCCCATGGAGGTCAGAATAGGGCATCAGATCCCCTGGAACTGGAGTTCTAGATTGCTGTGAACCACTGTGTTTTGGGAACTGAATCTGGGTCCTCTGTAAGAGTAACAAACGTTCCTAACTGCTGAATCACCTCTCTAGCCCACTTGGAGATAAATTTAATAATAAACAAACCAGATGCAGTAGCTCATGCCTGTAATCCCTAGCACTTAGGAGCTGAGGGGAGCAGGATTTTCTTGAGGCCAGTCTAAGCTATATAATGAGTTCCAGACTCTAAGCTACAGAGCAAGACTCTATCTAAACAAACAAAACGACCAGGCCTGGTGGTACCCATGTCTAATCTTTAGCAATTGAGAAGTGGAGGCAGTTCAAGACCAGCCTCAGCTACACAGTGTGAGGCCAACCTGAGATACAGGAGACCCTGCTTTAAAAACCAATCAGCCAATCAAACCAAACCAAGCAACCAGTAATCAAATACTACAGACCCCTAGTGTACCACTTGCAGAATCCTGTTCTTTTAAAAGTGGTTTCCAGGGATTAACTCTTTCTGTCTACATAAGAAGTCTATAAAGCAATTTATTTTATTATCCCCATTTTATAGTGGAAAACCCTAAAGCAGAGAATAGGAACATTATTTACCAAGGTCCTGAGGTAGTTAGTAAATGAGAGGGGTAGGAATGGAGTAGGAACACACAGGATAAAAAGCAAAATTCCTGAATCTGCTGTGGGCACTTGCTGGCACACTAGCAGCTAAATCTGTAAGGCACAGGCTGTCCACCATCCTAGCACTGGTGGAGCCAAACCCAAAGGTTGGAACCAGCTGCAAAGTCACCTGGAACCTTGACAAGAACTTGGGCCTGCTTTGGCATATTTCCTTCTTTCTGGTTTTTTCTTTCCTTTTTTTTTTTTTTTGGTTTGGTTTTGGGACGAGGTCTCATCATATAGCCTTGGCTGGCCTAGAACTCACAGAGAACTGTTTGCCTCTCCCTCCAAGTGCTGAGACCAAAGGTGTGTGCTACCACAGCCCACACCTTTTCCAAATTTTCAATTTGTGTGTAGACTCTGAGTGATGTGGCCCCCTGCCAGGGAACAAATTCAATCTTTTCCCATTGCTGTTCGGCCTCTAATTGTCTTCCTAATGCTATTTCTGCACTGTCTCATCCAATGTCTACTAACCACCCAAGACTGGAAAAGTTAAAATGAAATAAAATGGGAGCTAGGGAAAGAACTCAATGGACAAGAATCTTTGCTATGTAAGCATAAGGACTTGAGCTGGGACTCATTCATTTAAAAAGTTAGGGTGGTCATGGACCTGCAATCGACACACACTACAGGTAGCCTGGGATAGGAAGATTCAAGAGGCTTTGTTGGCTCTCTGGTTAGCTCCAGACTCAGTGAGAAGCCTGGCTTCAAGAGAACAAGGCGGAGCGTGAAAGAGCAGAACATCCGATGTCCTCTTACCCACACATGTGCACACTCACATGCATGAGCATGCACACTCACGCGAGTAAATAAAATGTAAGTACCTAGTTCTTCAGTGCCACAGGCCACACAGGGCTATATCAGGCAACACAGATCAGGACATTGCCATCACAAAAGTCCTAATGGGCAGGGTCTGCCTGAAGCACACTGCAGAGGGAGCCTAGAAGAGTGTCCTCACTTCCCTCTGCTGGACCAGTGAAGAAAGTCAGGGCCTGCAGCCTGACAGCCAGATACTTTAAGGCTATACATAGGGCTTTCACAAACACGGAGAACGGTGCCGACGGAGTGAAGGGCTTCACACCAGACACGGTCACTGCTGCTATCCAGGTTGCTGAGTTCCTGGCTACGGTCCACAAAAGGTACTGCCAAGAATCTTCTGCACCGATTTTTACAGTGTGTTGACTGAACTTACTGTGTAGTTGGGATTAGAAATATGTGCCACAATGTCTCCACTGAGAAAAAAAAAGCACCCTGGAAGAGGGGATATAGTTCAGTTGGGAGAATGCTTGCTGGTCTAGCATGCACAAACCTGGGATTGATCCCTAGAACCACATAAACCAGGCATGCCATGCCAGCACTTACCCTTACTCTCAGTACCCAGGAAGCAGAAGAAGGAAGATCGGAAATTCAAGGTCATCCTCTACTGCATAGCAAGTTCAAGGCCAGCCAGGTGGCCAGAGACACATGAAAACCTGTGAGAGAGAGAGAGGGAGGGAGGGAGAGAGAAAGAGAAAGAGAGAGGGAGGGAGGGAGGGAGGGAGGAGAGAGAGAGAGGGAGGGAGAGAGAGAGGGGCATTCTTGAGAAGTGTTTCCATTTCTTCAGAGTTGTTCTTTTACAGGACAGTCACTTGAAGCATGGCATATGCTTACCCAACACTTATCCTTCAACTTGGTTCATAGTACTTACAGTTAACTAACTTAATTCTAAACATTTTGTTTCCATTCTGCTACAGGATATTAAAACCCACGGGGGCATTACTGTTTCTGCTACATACTGTTACGCTTCATTACATATATTTGTGATCTACTTCGTTTTTCATGTGGAAAATATTTAGAAACTGGAGTATTGTTCTGTCACTTGACAATTCACATTACATTTTTTAAAACTTAATTACATGTCATTCATAGAAGAAAACGTGTCCCTGCTGTGTGTGGTGGCATATGCTTTTAATCCCAGCACACGGAAGCCAGCCAGACATCTCGAGTTCCAGGCCAGCCAGGGTTACATAGGGAGAGCTTGTCTCAAAAACAAAATAAAGCATGTGTCTCTTTCAACCACGCTGCTGGCTGGCGCCTGTCTGCCTGTGGGGTCTTGTGGGATTTTTCATTCGAGCAGACAGGAGGGACGGCTGCCCCCATTCCCAGCGCTCAAGGTCCCCAGCACGGTTCCCAGTGCCCGCCTCGGACCGCTCCGAACTGTTCCCTAGTCTAGTGCTTTAGGCTCCTTTAGGAGCACCAGCCCGGACGCACCTCCACCGGTCCTCAGTGTGCAGAACGCTTCTTTACCTGAACTTTTAAAAAAGCCCCTACAAAGCAGTAGAGGCTGGGATTCAGGATAAGTCAACTGACGAAGTTAGGCAGCACAAGGCAGCGCCTGTATCTTACAAGCGAGTCTCTACCCGAGGAGTGCTCCCAAAAGAGCTGGGCAAGGGGAAGTTCCTGCCACTGTTTTCTGTTCACGGTCTCACTAAGTAGCCTAGACTGGCTTCGAACTGGAAATCTTCCGGCCTCAGCTTCCCGGCGTGCACCACCACGCTCTATCTAAGCGAAGAACACATCTTCAGAAACCAAGTTTCTGGCGCTCGGGTTGGACGAGCCATCCTCACTAGAGCGAAGGCCAAGAACACAGACCTCGCCACCCAGCCAGCCCGCCGCCTCAGAACGTACATCTGGGAAGCTCCTCGCCCGCACCCACCAGGTCCTGGCGCTACAACATCCGGTCGCACGATTGCTTCCGGGGCGAGCTCAGGTCGCGGCTGCGCAATGCACCAGCGCGCAAGCACGGAAGGCGCGGCACCGCCCCCAAGCCCGCTGTCCTGCCGGCGCGCACAGGAGGCTCCCGATTGTGTCTGCAATCCCGCCACTCAGGAAGCTGAGGCAGAAGGATCACCGTGAATTCCAGCCCTGCCTGGGATACACAGTGAGCCTGTCTCACAGAACCAGGAAAAAAGCCAGCTGTGGGGGAGCACGTCTTTAATTCTAGTCTTAGGTAACAAGAAGGGGAATCTCTGTGAGTTCGAGGCCAGCCAGCCAGGGATACACGGTGAGTCTTGTCTAAAAACCAAGACCAAAACTAACCAACCAAACAAAAAGGGGCTAAAATGAGATAGGGTGTTTTAAAATTGTACTGCGTTCACAAATAGCAAGGCGGATTTAACCTGTTCAATAAACAGAAATGAAGTAATGGCTAAAAAAATGTTTTAATGAAAACGGAAAGTCTTCCTCTTTTTACAATTTTGAATGGACGCTCGTTACTGAAGCCCACGCCTGAAAACTGGTACTACAGGAAAGGAAGACCCTTCCTTCCTGGTCAACGCCCTCCTTCGCCCAGTGCCTCTGCAGACATCTCCAGTCTCCCACTGTGCTAAGCTAAGTCTGGAGAGGCATTGTTCATCCAACCACAGCCCCAGACTCCGGGCTTCTGCCAAGCAGCAGGTAATTGTCAGCACATCTGAAAACCTCAATCATCGCTGGTCAAGTTCACCAAGTGTTGGACGGATGTTGGGAAACAGGAAGAAGAATGAGCAGCGATTTCCAAATCTCCCTTTTCATCTTTTCTGGCCTTCCGTAAGAGGAGTCATAAAAAAACAAAGCACAGTCAACCACACCTGCAGGAAGGGGTTCATTTCAGCCTAGGACTTTCCAAACATTCATGTTACAGAAGCTATAATACAGTCAATGAAAAGAACTGCTGGCATCACTTTTCCCCACAAAAATTACATAAAAATGAACAAAACATTAAATAAACATTATTATTAATCATTAAATATATTAACACCAAAATCATGTATAAATTAGGAAATAAATGTACAAACTATTTCACAAAGTGCTTTTAAAAATATATACACAACATTCAAGAAATTCTTAATGTAAGACATTTCAGATTGAAGTTTTGGGGTGATACATTTTTTAAGTGTCCTTTTCTTTCAAAAAGTATTAATACAGCACTTATACGCACACACACTAATACAGCGTTTAACATACACATACACACATACTAATACAGCACTTAACACACACATACACGCACACACGCAAACACACATGCACACACACACATAAAAGGCATATTCCCAGATTGGCAAGGAATAAAAACCATTTTCACAGTTACTTAAAATGTTTCGACATTTTCAATGGGAAATTTTAGGCCCCAATTGAGCTTGTAGACTAGTTTTATAAAAATTTCCAGAAAAGAAAGGAGCAAAAGAGATGACCCCCTAAAATGAAGTTGCTAATACTTGTCACTGAGCGATCAGAAACTCATTTCTGTAAAGGTAATACCGTCACATGGTCAGCCCTTGCCAGTGTTAAGGGTTTCCTAAACCCTATGCCTACAAGACATACATGCCTGCATTTGTTGGTATCAGTTCTACAGGAGAGTCCTTGCTCTGTTTTTCCCAGCAAGGCTGTCAAGATTAATTCAAGTAAAACCCACAAAAGTGCCTTGTACATCCTCACCCACTGAACTACAGGTGAGTTTCATATTTGAGAAACTATCAACTGACACAGTAGAGCCAGGTGTGGTGCATGTCTGAAGTCTCAGGACTTGGGAAGTGGAGGCAGGAGGATCATGAACTTAAGGTCAGCCTTAGCTATACAGTGAGTTTGAGGCCAGTCTGGGCTACTCAAGACCTTGTCTAAAAACACAAAACAAAAGCTGGTTAGGCCTGATGCACCAGGCCCTGGATCCTTGGGGCTTTTGTTTTTTTGTATCTTCTTGGTTATTCTTAGAATTACACCAGCACTTATCTTGAAGGTCCCCCCCCTTTCATAGTAACATGATTATTATTGTCCGAATAAAAGCTGAGAAATGCCAGTGCTACATTATATGTGGTATTTCCCTTTGATCGTACCTTTCCAAAAAGGCTGTTTCTCATGTTTTACACAGAATTAAAATGAGATTGAACATTCTAGGGATGTAATGAAAAAAAAAAAGAAGAAAAAAACCCACTAAATTTCACTATATAAAACTTGTACTTTTCATTTAAAATAACATAATAAAGTTATTTCGATTTGTTAAAAATACGGTGTGGATTTCAGATTTCCCTAAATGCAAAGGAATGCTTGCTTAACAATCTGAACTTGTAAAATTTAGCATCAGTACTTCCAGTTCTCTTGAAGTTTAGGACTGGGCATACTCAAATCCTTGACACGACATCAAATAAACAAGGGCAAAGCCACACTACTCACAACGCAGCTGGCAGACAGCAAGCCACGCTCTGCAGAACACTGCCCTCCCTAGGGTGGGTTGCTCTCACACTGCCCTCATGGACACGTTTCCTCAGAATAGAGTCACTGACCCCTCTTCATTGTCTAATATAAAGCCACACACTTTTGGGATCACAGGGAGTGGACAGACACAGGCAGTGGGTGAGTTCTGGAGAGGACAGCTCACGGTCTCTCCACATGAAGCACATTTTCTTTGTTACAGTGACACAAGAAACTAGCCCAAGACACAGGTGTCCCCAAGCCTCATCTAGGCACAGGAAGATGGCCACCCAGGGTTGTACGTATGTGTGTCAAGCTATGCGCAGCCAGTTAAAGGAACATTTATAGTCCACTTTGCAAAAAAGGTGTGAGGGGGGCACACTGGGTCTGTTCACGGTAACATGGACCATGGTCTTTTAGATATTGTCTCACCACTGGCCACAGAACATGTGATGGCAGTATGACCCCCAAAGCTAGCTAAGAACATCGAGGAGGGGGTGAGGGACACAAACAGGACAACCTCTCCATCGTATCGATATACAATACTTTACACAGCACCAAATAAGTCACACCATCACGGCCAGTCGTGCACGCTTGGCATCATACCCAGCATGAAATGAGCCTGCTTCACATGCAGACATGGCATTGGGCGCAGGGTAACCAACATGTCATGACTCATCAGGACTGCCACTGGCTTGTCCAGAACATACTACTGTGAAGGGTCCAAAGACAACGCTTGTCCCTTATTGCTGGTAATTTCCATACTGGCCCTAAAAGAGAACAAGACATAGATTACACCCCCTCAGTCCTGAGTGGCAGGGTCTACACTCAAGTGACAAGAAGCTTCTTCCCATAGCCAGAACCCTGGATGGGTGGAAAGTGACCTCAAAAGCAAGTAGCTAACAGTCTGCCAAAACCCACCAAGGGAGAGGCAGCACTTCTCTAATCCAGAAGTGTCATATTTCAGCCTGACAGTCACTCCCCCACCTTATTCCCCAGTTTTGACAATCATTTATTTGACCTGACTTATTTTTATCAGCTCTACTCACAGGCAATGCCTGTGAAGACAGCAGTGTGCTCCCAGTGATGCACTGGGCTCTCTGGGAGGTAGGGCCTAGCCATGTGCCTAAGCAGACATCACACCGACCCTCCAGGAAGGGAGTCCTGTGCCCTGAGCTCCTTCAGTGACTGATGGGGCAGCAAGGCTGATGCCAGCACCAGGTTCCACTTTTAGGAAATGGTTAGAGTGACCCGGTTAACAGAATCAGTCAATGCAAATCTGAAGAAGAGAGAATTGGAGCTTGAATCAGCATGACTGCAGGGTTGGAAGCTAACAGAATCCCGCACCCAGAGGAAGAATCTCCTGAAGACTGTTGTCCTGAAGGACACAGGCACTCAACCCACCCAGCTTCCTTTCTCCACAGCTGGCAAAGAAGGACTCCTGGGAGCCCACAGTGAAGAGTCAATGCAGAGCCAAGCTGATGGGGCTCCGGGGCCTGAACCCAGGTGGGTGAAGCAGAGGGCACAGCAGGCCCTGAGTACAACTGCCAGGGCAGGCAGCACCTCTGCATAGAGTAAATCTAACTCAGTGTTAGTTAGTTGGTTACCCTCAGCCCAGCTAGTTCTTCCCACAGGGATTTATGGTGGTGCCTGGAGCTATTTGTAATCCTCAAAACTGGGGAACAGAGTTGGGGAGAGACTGGCATCTATGGGTAGTGGCCAGGGACACTAGGAAACATAGACTATACACAGCAGCTTGCTGTGTACTTGCCTAGGTCCATCAGCCAACTGATGGGTTGGGACCTTGAGACCCACAGCTAAAACTCTTTTGGCTGCATTAAAGGTCTCAAGTGAGGACACTTTTCCCTGAGATGTCCCTACTGTGGCTTCTCTGGAGGCAAGTGTAGTCATGACCATTCAGTCTACAACTAAGTTAGCATGCCACTTGTTGGTCCACAAATTCTTGAGATGTTCTTTTTTGGCCTCTGGGAAAGAGGTATCTGTGTCATCAAGACCATCCTAGCAACTGTAGCCCCAGTGGTTGCACACTGCTGCTGTCCTGGAAGCTAATCAGTCCCCCCTCCTACTATTCCTCAGGACCGTAAGAGAGATCCTTGCCATGCCTCACTTGACACCTGGCAGACAGTACTTTCAGAAACATCCAGAAAGCTTGCCTGCTCATAGCCGTAAGGCCGCTGCTGCTGGGCAGAAGGTCCCGTCTGCGATGCTCTGTAGCTTCCATACTGTTGACCTTGGCCTTGCTGGTAGCTCGAGTACTGTGAGGGGGCTCCCTGGGCAGGGCCTGTGAAGACAACAGAGGCTGTCAGACCAATCACACCCAGGTTCCCAAGCTTGTGAACACCCAGACACCAGGAACCTATCCTGTGGTGGGTAAAGCCTGTCCTCCAAGAGTGCTACAACTCAGCGTGCCATCTCTGACAGTCCTGTGAGGACTCGGGACTATGGCCATACACATATAGGACACTGAGGGTCTGTCCCCAGCACACTGGGGCTGCCACCTTGCAGAAGTGGGTGAAGGGCTATTCCAGAACCAGCTGGAGTCAGTTATGGTGGACAGAGTAAAGCAAAACCTTAAACTCAGGCAGAAAAGAAATGTCAGACTTCCTATGAAAACTAAGTTGAAGGCTCAGGAAAGGATTGATAAAGCACATCTCTGTGTGTGTGTGTGTGTGTGGGGGGGGGGTGCTGGGGACTGAACACAGATCATCACAGATGGCAGGACTCTACTCTACCATGGAACCACAGTCCAGCCCCTAGTGAACACTACGCAGGCTTTCAATGCTACATGGCTGTAGCCTGTAAGTTACTGCCCAGTGCTGTTTTTCTTTCTTCCTGCATGCATGTCTGCAGACCACATGCATCAAGCAGAGGCCACAAGAGAGGAGTCGGATCTCCCCTGGCACTGGAGTTTCAGTCAGTTGGGAGCTACCATATGGGTGCTGAGAACCAAATACAGATCCTCTGCAAGAAAATTAAGTGTTCTTAACAGCCGAGCCATCTCTCCAGCCCCACTGCTGGCTTCTGAACTGTAACCACTGTATTGGCGTAGCTGATGATCTTAGACACAGGAAGGCAGGGTACTGGGTACTCGGGAACCCTGTGCACAATCCCCCAACCTCTCCAGAAACTAACATCTATGCCAAAATAAGCTTACTAAACATCTGCCTGAATGACAACATTACAATGCACGCAGCACACAGCAGGCCCCAAGGGCCCTCTGTGAGAAGACACACTGTCGTCCTTACCGTAGCCTTGCTGCTGCCCCGGGTAGCTCTGCTGGTTGGGGTACTGCTGCTGGGAGTAGGTCTGCTGCTGCGCCGAGCCCTGCTGGTACCCAGTCTGCTGCTGACTGTACTGGGAGTTTCCTGAAGGAAGAAGGGGGCACAGTATCATTTCAGGGCGGTGCACAGGGCTCCCTGTCACCCACAGGACAGCCATGGAATCCTTGCACGATGTCTCCAGAGGCAGTATGTTTCCACAATGGCTCAAATATCACACTACATTTTTGTCTTTTTAGAAGATACAAATGAAAAGCCAGATAACACAAAATGGGTGATAGAGCTGCTAAGATAAAGGCTGACAACAGTACCATGCACTGAACTATCAAGTTCTACTCCACATGGTTGATCCTAATTGTCAATGTGACTGGATTCAGAACCACCTAGGAGACACACCTGAGCGTGTCTCTGAAGGTGTTTCTTGAAAAGTTTAAGTGAATGTGGGTGACACCATGTCAGGGACTAGGGTCCCAGACTGAATGAAGAGGAGAAAGTGGTGTTCATCCCTCTTCGTTTCCTGACTGCAGAAGCCATGTGACCAGCTGCCTCAGGCTCCTTCCACCGTGGACTGTCCCTCAAACTGTGAGCCAAAGCAAGCCGTTCCTTAAGCGGCTTTTGTTGGGTGTTTCGTCCCAGCAACAAGAAAAGTAAGACACAGTCCCAAAGGGTCCCTTCAGTGGAGGCCAGGGATGGGTCTGTGCGAAGTGAAGGAATCGTGAGCCGATGCACAGAGGCCACAGGACAATGCAGGTGGGGACTGCAGCATGTTTCTCCAAGCCAAGAGTCAGCCAGACTGATGGCAGCCAGCAGACGCTGGAGAGGCCTGCAGCAGACCCGCCCTGAGCTGGCAGAAGGTGGGTCTGCAGACACCTTGACCTCAGATCTCAGGCCTCCAGAGCTAGGAGGCAGTGAAGGCCTGATGCTTCAAGCTGCCCTGATGCTATTCCATCACTACAGCCCTGGAGGTCGGACATCAACAAGCAGGCCACAGCAGAGGACTGAGGGGATTGTCCCACCTACTGTGTGTTTGGTTTTAAAGGAATAAAACAGGAAAATGAATGCAGATGGTGAAAATCAAGTGCTGTGGGATAATGCTCCTGTACACTGTAAAGATTGTCACTCGAATTGGTATGAAAATGCTGATTGGCCAGTAGCCAGGCAGGAAGCATAGGCGGGGTGACCAAACTAAGAGAGAAGAGGAAGGGCTGGAGTCAGGAGTTGCCAGCCAGACACAGAGGAAGCAAGATGAGAATGTCAACTGAGAAAAGGTACCAAGCCACATGGCTAAACATAGATAAGAATTATGGGTTAACTTAAGTGTAAGAGCTAGTCAGTAATAAACCTGAGCTAGTGGCCCAGCAGTTATAATTCATATAAGCATCTGTGTGGTAATTTGGGAAGTGGATGCTGGGAATTTGGAAGTTGTTGGCGGAGCAGAAACTTCCACCTACAATCAAGTCTGAAGTTGTGACCAGGCAGGTAGAAGTCTCAAAACTGTGGGCTCAATCAGTACAGACTGTGTGTCAGTGTATTATACACAGACACCTCTCTGTGTTTCTTTCTTACAGAGTTATTCTAAAATACTAAAAGTCAATTATTAAGAAATACTTCAGGAGCGATGACTCAGAGGTTAGAGTGTGTGGCTACTCTTCCAGAAGACCCAAGTTTGATTCCCAGAATAACATTAGGTGGTTCACAACCACCTGTAACTCCAACTCCAGGAGCTACAACACCCTCTTCTAGTCTCTGAGAACACCACCTGTGAGGGTGAATGAATACGTACACACAACACATAAATAAAGGACAGAAATAAATCTTTTCTTGTAATTAATGTGAATGTATGTCTGCTAAGTCCTGTGAATCTATGACTCTCAACCTGCTTAGGACCTGCGTATCTCCTCTCACTTCCCATTCTGTGGCATCCCATTGGTGACACCTGTCAGCCAGGATGGGCATATTTACACCACAGAGACAGACACACAGCTGTCCCTCTCCCCCGTTCCTACAGCACCACCACGGGTCTCTCCATGCTGCGGACACAAGCCCCTTACAGAAGCAAACCTACTGGGCTCACGGGCCACTCGGCTGGAGGGATGGCAGCGTTGGTCCCCCAGCAGCAACACCCCCAGCATGGTCAGACAAACCCTGTCCTGTTTCCCAAGCATACAGGTGAAGTGAAGTCCCAGGGCAGAGCCTGGCAAACCCCAACCTCGCACACCTACACCGGCTATCTGTTGCCATCAGTGACGGGTGAGACTGGGGGTCAGCACGGCTGGCCCTAGGAGGGTGGTATCAACTGCTGTGCCTGTGCTGTGTTTACACACGGGGCCCAGCACGTGTCCCCACCAATACTCCTTACCCCCCTCATAGTAGTGCTGTGTGGAATCCTCAAACGAGCGGTCGTAGCTCTGCTCTGTGTAAGATGATTGCTGGTAGGCATAGTCGCCGTGGCCTGCAAGAAACAGGGGACTTACTGTCAATGGCGCTGTCTCCTTGGCTAGGTCCTGGGGGACAACTGGGCTCTGCAGCAGTGAGTTCAGGCCAGGGGATGAGGCAGAGCCCACCTCTCTAAGCCTCTCTGTTGTGTCTGTCTGTCTTTCTCTTTCTCTCTCAAATGCAGACATCACCGTCACTGTGAGGCTGCTCCAATCACTGCATCTCCATCACTGCACTGTGAGGCTTGTAGAGAGAATCAAGCCTTCTTTACAGCACTGGCTGCTCTCTCCCATATCTGTCCAACTTCTGGGGCTTCCTGGGTAGTGGTGCTGTGACCATGAAAAGGCCTTTGGAACATGCTACCATCTCACACCAGGCATCATGGCTTGCTACAAGACTTGTCTCAGCCACCTATCCTGCTCTTATTCCCCAATCCCAGGCATGCACCCTATCTCATGCTATGGCTTACACCAGGGCCCTGGCTAGGAGTTCTCCCAGAGACTTCCACTGTTCTCTCTCAAAATATACATTTAAGAAAGATATTTATTGAGACAGGGTCTCCTGTTGTAGCCCAGCTGGCTTCAAATTCTTAATCTTCCTGCTTCAGCCACCGAAGAGCTGGGAATATAGGCATGGGCTACCATACCCAGTATTTAAGATCACTTTAAATGCCACTTTCACAAATCTACTTAAAGGTGACAGTTTGCAGAAGTGAGGGCAGGAGGCTGGATGTTATGACCCACCATGATAAACACACCTGTCAGTAATGGATGGCTCTACCCAGCTCAAACTCCTACTACCTTCTGGGAAAGGGAAGCAGAAAAAAACCAAAGAGGTGGATGGTGTCCTAAGGCAGAAGATATTCTTGTCAGAGACCAGCCTCAATCATGCCCCAATGTGCTCAAGCCGAGGGGACTTGGGGTGCGTTGCTGGCAGGACACAAGGATGTTAGGTCTGGAGAGCAGATCAACAGGGAGTTGCCAGAAGCGCGTCTTACCGTCGGGGTAGTACTGTTGACTCATGGGCTCTGCAGCACCCTGGCTGTGGCTGTACTGTTCACTGTAGTACTCCTCCTGGCCTAGGTACTGCTGGGAAGAGCCTGTGGGGTGTGAGCAGACACTCAGGACCAGCAGGCAGTGGGTGAGACATGCTCACATACCTGGTTCAGTGGCAAAACCATGCTAAGCGGCCTTGCTCACGGGAGGAAGACACCCAGGACCATTCAAATACCAATCCTCCCTCTCCTCTTAACCCAGCTGCCCAAATATTCTGGAATCGGAACAACAACCACCTGTCCCTCAGCCTCCAACATCAGATACTCACGCGGTTCCCATTGCACCTATAGGCCAAGCATCCTTGCTCACGTCATGGAACAAACATTATGGCCCTTGTGAGGAGACAGACCACTGGCTCTTCACCATGGGCTGAAGTAGGCCTCAGCCTTACCTTGCTGGGAGGGTCGGTAGGGTGCCATGGGCCGCTGTCCCATCATGCTGCTCCCTTGGCCACCCTGGCCCATCATGGCAATGGGCGCCTGGCCCTGGTAATGCTGGCTCCCGCCCTGTGCTGAGTTGTAGTGGGATGTGGCTGCCTGCTGGTGCATCATGGAGACTGTGTGATGAGACAGAGACCCCAAAATAAGCCTGAGGGGAGGGGGGTTCTTTCACCTGCAGACCTCCCTCCCTTCTAATGCTACTCCATCATCATTTCCCATGTTCATGTAAGACGGGGCTTTTGGATTCCAAGTCATACCTCTAACAATGTGAACTGCATCTATGCCCTGGCACGAGGTCAGACCTCAGCTGTTAGTACTCACGTTTGGCTAACACAGAAAAGAGGCACTGGGCAAGACAATGTGGGTTCTCAGCCCCCACAGCTCCCGAGCACAGAAACTAGAATCTTGTCCTTCCTTGTTCCCAGGACCTGTCCTGAATGAGTCAGTGTCCCCTCCTCACTTCTTGAGCAGTGGCCCTACAGCTACTGTAGACTGCACCTGCCTGTCTGCTGGCCTGTCCTCACACTGCTCAGAACTCAGGGGAATGGCACTACCCAACAGAAATGAAACAGGATCCGTTTGTTTCAGAGTTTGTAGAAAGCCAGGCCTGGTGGAGCACGCCTGTCACTCTGGCTACTCAGGAGATGGAGGAAAAGAAGATTCCAAGTTCAAAGCCAGCCAAGGCAATTTAGTGAGGGATGTAGCTCACTAGTAGAGCCCCTGCCTTACATGCATGAGGTCCTGTGTTCAGTCCCCAGCACTGGGGGAAAAAAGGAAGAAAGAAAGAAAAAGAAAAGCTTCTAGAACCATGTTGAAAAAGTAAAACAAGCCGGGCGGCAGTAGTGATGCCTTTAATCCCGGCACTCTGTGAGTTCGAGGCCAGCCTGGTCTACAGAGCGAATTCTAGGACAGCCAGGGCTACACAGAAAAACCCTCTCTTGAAAAACCAAAAAAGTGAAGCGATCTTCAATAAACACTCTAACAATGTGTTTGCAAAAATAAATCTGCAGTGTTATGATCATAGAAACACTAGGAGAAGCCGGGCGGTGGTGGCGCACGCCTTTATCCCAGCACTTGGGAGACAGAGGAGGCAGGTGAGTTTGAACTCTGTGAGTTCGAAGCCAGCCTGATCTACAAAGTGAGTTCCAGCCCCCCCCCTCCCCCCAAAAAAGAGACTAGGAGACACTCCATCTTGTTTTGTAACATTCCTCTGAAACCCCTGTCTCTGATGCTCAGAGAACATCGAGATTGGGACCTGCCATGTCCCAGGTACTTCATGATCAGCACCCACCATCACAGACAGCCTAGATCTGGGGCTGCTGCTCTGCTGAAAGGCCTGGACCTCCAGCTTAGCATTTGTGACCCTTCATCTTTCCTACTTCTGGATTTTGCCAGGGGTCCCCTGTGTGGGGAATTGCTATACCTCATCTGAGACCAGTGTTCTTCCAAGTCCCACAGCCAACGGCACCCTTTCCTTGGAATTCCTGAGGCCTCTGAGAAACCACTCAGGGCTGAGTCCCTGTGTTTCCACCAACCTGGCCTGGTGGAAACACCTAGGGAAGCGTCACAGCACCCGCCAGGCGGGCCGCCCCTTAGGGGCCACACAGACAAGCTGCCTGACTTCATAAGGGTTTAGGAGCTGGCCGGGACTGTGGGGCAGGGGGAGGGGCAGTACCTGGGTTGGACTGCATGTTGATGTTGGTCCGAGATACATAGTTGCTGATGGCACCTTGGCCTTGCATGGGAACGCTCTGTGAGGTGGGTCCCGAGTGGCTGTAGCCAGGCCCAGTACCATGACCACTGCCTGACATGCTCATGGAGGTTGTGGGCAGTGTGCTCTGGGCTGTCTGCTGCATGGACACGTGGTTTGGACCTGCCAGGAGGGGTAGGAAAGGGAGTGTCAGGCACTGGAGGCCAGGTAACCACCTCAAGGTAAAGACACCCAAGTTCAGCCGGGCGGTGGTGGCGCACGCCTTTAATCCCAGCACTCGGGAGGCAGAGCCAGGCGGATCTCTGTGAGTTCGAGGCCAGCCTGGGCTACCAAGTGAGTCCCAGGAAAGGCGCAAAGCTGCACAGAGAAACCCTGTCTCGAAAAACCAAAAAAAAAAAAAGACACCCAAGTTCTTTGACACCTCCCTTTTTGAGGAGGAAGTTAATCCCTGGTCAGTAACACTGATGAAGCAAGTGATGAATGAACAGACACACACCATGTGTCACGGTTACTGAGAGCCCCCGTAGTTATTAGTTCTTATACTGCAGCAGCAGCAGCAGCAGCAGCAGCAGCAGCAGCAGCAGCAGCAGCACCAAAACCACCAGCACCACCACCACCAGCACCACCACCAGCACCACCACCACCAGCACCACCACCAGCACCACCACCACCAGCACCACCACCACCAGCACCACCACCAGCACCACCACCACCAGCACCACCACCCACACCTTCATTCTAAGGAATCCACACAGAAGCACATGTCTGTACATTAAGCGGACAGAGTCAAGCAGAACTGGGCACTTGAAGTCAGTTTGATGCCCTCTGCATATTTATTCAACCCCTACATACACTTAGGCTTAGCAGAGTCCCTGTGGCCAGACAGTGGGACAAAGGTGGGCACAGGCCAGGCCAGGAAGGCACTATGCCAGCTCTGCTGGGTGTAGGCTGTCACTGTAGCCAGCCACCTATGGCTACCTTGGTGACATCGCTGCAGCAAACCTGCTCACCGTTACCGATCTGGCCCTGCATGAGGGAGGCAGGGGGCAGGCCTGTGCTGATGGCATCGCTGAGGCTACCCTGGGGATGCAGGCCCTGGCTGGAACCGCTCTGACTCAGTGCTCCCGGGCCCAGGTTCATGTTCTGTGTTGGTGGCTGTAGACGACAGGAAGGTTGGGACAGGACAGTTAACTCAGAGAACAGGCACCAAGAGCCACCCCAGGGACATAAAAACTGCACAGCTACCTGCCAGCAGGGGTACTGGGCTAAGATAGAGACCAACATGACATTCAGTACATAAATCAGTTGGCCAAGTGTCTCTGTCCACATCTCATCAATGACCCAGGCCCTGCACAAGCTGGCTTCCTGCACTTTTATTTCCTGTGTCCCCTCCCCTCTCATCCTCCACCCCCTCAGTTAAACGTAAGGTGTAGAAGGGAGGTGGCTCCTTCCCTAGATCAAACAGTGGTCCCAAAGGTTTGCACACACATGCTATCTGTACCTAGCCAAGAAAGGGAGCCCCCGCAACCAGGCCTGGTACTGCAGCCATATAATCTCAGCCAAGAGGTGGAGGCAGGAGGATGGCAAGTTCAAGGCTTGCCTACAGCGTAAGTTCAAGTTCTGTCTGGCAAAATAGTTAGATCCTAAAACTAAAACTTATTTTTAAGAAGTAAAAGACAACTGAGGATATAGCTTCATATGCACAAAGCTCCAGGTTCAACCCCTAGTACTGAAAATGAGAAGGGGGTGTCCACAGGACCAGCTGGTATCTGCAGGAGCACCTGATTGACATCACAGCCAACCAAGGTATAACACCACTTATAACGCCTCCACTTTCCCAGGGAACAGTGGTATCAGGGGTGAGCCATTCTTGATAACATATCTGCCCTGGCACCTTGTAGTCAGCCGCAGTCATCCTGGGGTCACCTCACTTGGCCACAGGCACACGATCCAACTTCACAGTAAAAATTTAATTAGGGGAAAATGCATTTACAGAAAATCAAACAGACAGTAAAATATTTATGCTAACATCTGGAACATGGCTGCACTGGAGATTTTTTTCCTTTCAACTTTCTTTTTTTTTTCTTTTTGGTTTTTCGAGACAGGGTTTCTCTGTGTAACAGCCCTGGCTGTTCAGAAACTCACTTTGTAGACCAGGCTGGCCTCAAACTCACAGAGATCCACCTGTCTCTGCCTCCCAAGTGCTGGGATTAAAGGCGTGCACCATCACCGCCCGGCTCTTTTTATTTATTTATTTATTTAAATTTTTTATTTTCCGGAGCTGAGGACCGAACCCAGGGCCTTGTGCTTGCTAGGCAAGCGCTCTACCACTGAGCTAAATCCCCAACCCTTCTTTCTTTTATTTTTAAGCCAGGGTTCATACTGTGTAGATTCAGCTAGCTTGGTACTCAATATACGGCCCAGTCCAGCTTCAAACTGACAGCAGTCCTACTACCTCAGCATCCCAAGTGCTAGGATTAAAGGCACGCACCAAGAAAGACTTTTTTTTGTTTTTTAAGTCCTGGTAATGGACTCACACTCACGGGAACCACTCACACCATTTGGAGGGGCTTAAAATGTATGAAGCCCGGCATTCAAGCCTCAGCACCACAAAAACAGAAAGCAAACAGAAAGAAGTGTTTACAATAAAGGCGGAAAGCTCCCTCCTGTCTATCACGACACTGATAACACCCCTAGGGCTGGTTCTGGGGTCACTTCCCCACACTAAGCAGTCAAAGACCCAATTCCACCTGTCTAGTCATGTGATGGGGCGTTTTTAGAACCCCTAATTTCTGATGCCTAATAGTACTGGGTTGCTGTTGGTCACCTGACTACTTGAGATGACACACCCAGAAACTGGTTGCAGTACCTACCGCAGGAAGCAGCGACTGCATATTCTGGTTGGAGTCTGCTATTGTGGCCAGGTAGACCAGGTTCCGGTGCAGGATCTGCTGGTACCTGTGGGAGAAGCACACAGGTGAAGCAGGACAAGCACGCCCAAGGTAGAAGCACAGTCTACCCAAGTGAGCCTTGACCTCCAGCCAAACTCCAGCAGGACACTGGCCCCAAGGACACTCAGGCCGGGCTGGAAACAGGCAGCTGCAGCTCTCCACAGTCCAGGCAGGGGTAGGCTCCTGTTCCATGACTGAACCCTGGGAAGACCCTGAGATGTGAGCCAAGAGGAAGGTGGTACTAGGTCAATGGAAAAGGAGGAGAGGCCTGAAGAAGACAGAGGAAGACAGGGAACAGAGCCCCGCTCCAAAGTCAGACATCAGGCTAACTCCATAGCAGCCGATAGCCTGAAGAGCCCTATAAGGAAACAGGGGACTGAGGACCCTGACCCACATCTCACCCACACATCACACCAAGCAAGGCCTCAGGTCTCTCAGACAAGATGCACCGGGTGGGGACCGGGGCCATGCACACTTGATACCCAGGAGTCTCATGAAGGTGAGACAGAGGTCTGAGGTACTTTGCCCACACAGAGGCACAAGCTGTCTCCTGGTTGGGTCGACTACTGGCCCCACGGATGGAGGCTGTGTAAACTCCTTCCCTCTTTACCCCAAGCCCTAATAGTGAGGGTTCCCACCGCACTTGCACCCTCAGGATTACATGTGACCTCACTCTGCTCCGTCCGTACCCAGGGAAACTTTCCCAGAGCACGGAGAAGGCAGTGTCATAGAGACCAAGGGAGGGCTGGGCCTTGGCTGGCATCGTTACTTACTGAGTGCACTCGGCCGTCTTGCCCTTGCTCTGGTAGTCCAGGATGCACTGGATCAGATGGTGGTTCTCATCCAGCATCTGAAAGGGAGGGAAGCAGGGCACACGCCAGTCACACGGAAGCTGGTTCACATCTAGGATGCCAGGATCCTTGGGGAGTGTGTTGGGGACACTCACTCCAGGTCCCAGGCCCCTAGCTAGAGAGTGCCACAGACCCTCACATCACAACTGCACAAGAGGCAGCTTAGATCTCGGTAGGCTATGTTCAGCCTGGGTCAGTGAGGGAAGCCAAGGGGACATCGTGGCTAGTAGGAGGCGCTACAGATTCACAGAGTAGGCAAAACACCGAGGCGACTGACGAGGAAACCATGGGCTACCGATCTACAACCTCACCCCCTGGATCTCCTCCAGTCCTGAGCACAACACGAGAAGTGTTGTTACAGAAAGCCCAGGCCACAGTCTGCAGAGATCAGCAATGTTTCCAGACTGTCTTACGTGTGATACAGGGTCTGCATTTGAAAACAATCTCAGTGAGTGATGGGTGAATGAATGGCCAGACGTGAACATGTCGGAGATGGACCATGGGCCCCCAGGACTGTTGCACAGGTTAGAAGCTCAGTTTCAAAGAGTAGGAAGTCGGTCCTCACGCCACCGGCTACAGCCTACACTCAGCACTCAGCACGATATGGAACTGGTCAGACACTGTACAGGAGGCAAGATTGGAAGGCACTGGGCTGAGCTCCCAAGGTGTCTTGGAGGCGCTGATATGTCTGTAGGAGAGCCTAATACTCTTCCCAAACCCAGTAATTTGAGGGTCTGACCTTCATAGACCCCAGGGTTGGTGCTCTAGCATGTGCTGGCTTCAGTGACTGGTAGCACTGAGTGGGACTTCAGGGACACTGGGCATGCCTGGGGGTGCAGGGGCCATGCCAAGCTTATGGGCAGGTATGGTATACAAGAGCCTCCTACAAGTTGACAGTCCCCTTGAGAAATGCAGAGGGAGAGGAGGGAGGGGACAGGGGAAGAAGTGTGCCAAGCCAGTGGGCAGAGGACGACCTGCAGGTAGTGTTGAGTCATCTTCTACCTGGAGTGACCAATCTTCCCGGGGGAGGAAGCCTGGCTCACCCACTACTTCCTGTGTCACACAGGGCCTTTGATCAATTGCTCACAACAGGCAGGCCCTTACCTTCACCAAAACACATACTTGGCCTGTTGCTTCAGGCTGCCTGCTGCCCTCCCTCTACTTTGCAGCATGGGTCCCTGAACTGCTTCCTGCCTGAGTCTAGCTCCCAGCACCACCCCTCAGCCTGTACAGCTTCAGGGTGGTCTCTCCTGCCCTGCTCCTTTGCAGGTTAAAACACCTTGAGGTGACAACCTATTCTGGACTCAGTGCCCACCATGCCCACCAGGGGGCACTGCCGCACAGAAGCTGCTGAGAGTGATCTAACATTTAGGGAAGGACTTTCTCCAGGTTACATGAAGAACAAACCTCTGATGCACACCACGCTCCCACCCTCACCCCCCAACACAAGGCTCCCAGCATCCTCTTCTTCAACTCCCCAATCTCAAGGAACGGCTCGCTCCAAGGATACAAAGTAAGCCCCCACACAGCATGCCTAGGATGTCATGTCAGCATCAGCCACAAGGAAGACACAGAAAGGTCAGTGACAGCACCACTATATTACGGGCTAGCCATGAGGTGGGACAGTGCCGCATTCCACGGTACTTAGCATTTATACACATGAGGAAACACTGGACTGCCACCATGTTTTAAGATCTTGTTTTTAGTTATGTGTTGGCTTGTGTGTTGTGTTGGTGTGTGCAGACATGTGTGCAGGTACCCACAGAAGCCAGAAAAGGAGGGTCAGATCCCCTAGAGGAGTTACAGGTGGTTGTGAGCTGCCCAATGAGGGTGCTAGGAACTGAATTTAGAGCCCATGCAAGGGCAGTGCATGCTCTTAATTGCTGAGCCAAATCTCTAGCCCATGCCTTCTCAAAACAGCAGACGAGGTGCTGGCTTGCGGCGTGCTGGCTTGCTTAGTTTAAAAACATTTACAGGAGCCGGGCAGTAGTGGTGCATGCCTTTAATGGCAAGCACTTAGGAAGCAGAGGCAGGTGGATCTCAGTGAGTTCGAGGCCAGCCTGGTCTACAAAGAGAGTTCCAGGACAGCTAGGGCTGTTATACAGAGAAACTCTGTCTTGGAAAAACAAAACAAAACAAACAAAAACAACAACCAAAACAAAAACCACCATTCACAGGAAGTTGGGCATGGTGGTGCACGTCTTTAATCCCAGTACTCAAGGAGGCACTCAGATCTCTGTAAATTTGAAGGCAGCTTGGTCAACAGAGTGAGTTTTAGGACAGTCAGAGTTGTTACACAGAGAAACCCTGTCTTGAAAAACCAAAACCAAAACCAAAAACCAAAACAACCAAACATTCACAGGAAAGACAGGATGCGGCACAGACACATGCTGAGAGCTCCAGACCCTCACAGATCTGTCTGCAAGGGACAAGCATGGTGTACAATTCCAAGGACAGTGAGAACAGAACATGAGCTGGCAGTTGTGGATTTTAGAGAGAAAAGCAAAAATAGGAAGGAACTGAACTGCGGTCGCCAAGGCACTGGATCTCAACCAGCTATATGTAGAGCCACCCTGGGAAAGTCCCAAGAGGCTCAAGGTAGGACTGTTCCTTAACTGCATCCTGGCAGGGATGGGAGAAAGAACTCCTGGAGTGTCTATGGAAAGGAGGAAGGCTGAGAGGACCCCACAGTGAGGACTACAGAACCTCCGGCCCTGTGCCCAGTCTCTACAGGGCAAACCCATGATGGCCAGCATCAGCCTATGGAGGAAGCCTGTTGTCTGAGGGGCAAACACTAATACCAAAGGCCAGGAATCAGGCCAGGGGTAGAGCATCTATCTGCGTAACATGTAGAACTTCAGTCTGGTCCAGTCTAATCTCCTGCACTGCTTCTCAATGCCCAATACTTGGAGCAACCAAGATTATAAAGAAAAAAAAAAAAAAGACACCTATATTCAAATCACAACTATAAAAACAAGTTACTATACAGATGAAAGATAACAGACTATTTAAAATTAACACAAGAGTGGTATAGTTGGGTCTTGAGGAAGATTGATTCCCAATTTTCTGAGAAACCGCCACACTGATTTCCATAGTGGCTGTACAAATTTGCATTCCCACCAAGAGTGAGGAGTGTTCCCCGCTCTACCTCCTCTCCAACATAAGCTGTCTGCAGTGCTTTTGATCTTAGCCATTCTGACAGGTGTAAGATGGAATCTCAGAGTAGTTTTGATTTGCATCTCCCTGATGACTAAGGATGCTGAGCAATTCCTTAAATGTCTTTCAGCCTGTTGTGGTGGCGCACACCTTAATCTCAGCACTAGGCAGAGGCAGGCGAAACTCTGTGAGTTAGAGGCCAGCCTGGTCTACACAGTTCCAGGACAGTCAGGAATACAGAGAAACCCTGTCTTGAAAAACAAAAAACAGGGCTGGAGAGATGGCTCAGTGGTTAACAGCACTGGCTGCTCTTCCAGAGGTCCTGAGTTCAATTCCCAGCAGCCAAAGGGCAGCTCAAAACCTTCCATGATGGGATCTGGTGGCCTTTTCTGGCCTGCAGGAATAAATGCAGAAAGCAGGGTGGTGGTCACTCACACCTTCAATCCCAGCACTCATGAGGCAGAGACAGATATTGCTCAAAAAACCAAAACATAACACAAACAAACAATATTAACACAGGGGCTGCGAGGATGACTCAGAGGGTGAAGGTACATGCCACCAAACTCACGACCTGAGTTCAACCCCTGGGACCCACACTGTGGAAGAAGAGAACTGCTGTGACTGTGTTCTGACAAATAAAGCTTGCCTGGAGATCAGAGGATGGAGCCAGCCACTTGCTAACCATAGAGGTCTGCACAGACAGGAGACAGGAAGTGATATGGCCGGGCAGAGAGAGGAAGTGACAAGGCAGGGCACAGAGAGGATCTCGGCCTTTTTGGTCTGAGGATCTGGAGAGGTCAGAGGTGACTGTGGCTGCTCCTTTGCTTCTCTGACCTTTCACCTTTCACCCCGATATTTGACTCTGGGTTTTTATTATTAAGACTAATTAGGATCCCGCTACAGAGAACTGACTCCCACAAATTGTTCTCAGACCTCCATTCCTCTGCCATGGCACTAAATGTAGTAGAAACCACAGGGAGCCTCCCCCCCTCCACACACACACACACACAAAATAAGCTCTTGGAAAATATTAGTGACAACAAAACAAAAGCTGGGCATGGTAGTGTGCACCTGTAACACCACCACCTGGGAGGCAGGAAGGGTGTCAAAGGTTGAAGGCTAACCTGGTCTACATAGTGGGTTCTAGGCCACATAGTGAGACCTGGTCAAAAATCAAAACAAAACAAGAGGGCTGGAGAGATGGCACAGAGGTTAAGAGGGTATATTCATCTTGCAGAGGACCTAAGTTCAATTCCTAGCACCCACTCAGGGAGCTCACAAGTGCCTTGAACAGGCTATGGAAACAATATGACCAGCTGCCTCCAGCTCCTGCCACCATGGCTCCCCTGCCGTGATGGCTAAACCCTTAAACTGTAAGCAGAAATAGCCTCTTTAACCTCTTAAGTTGCTTCCTATCAGGCAAGGAGAAAAATAACCGAAACACTGCCCACTACAGAGGTCCATGATCTGAGGATATTTCTAGAAGGCTAATAACTAACCTAATGACATTCCCAGGAGAGGGCTGCAGACCCACTGCTAGGAGCCAATGAGACGTTCACCCCACTGCAGAAGATGTGAATTAGCCGTGTGAGCTTCAAAGCAATCCCAAAAGCATATGCAGGCAGGACATGTGGGAGGTACAGCCTTGTAGTCTCACAACCACGTTTACCACGTATGTCCAGTTTGCAAAGACTACACACACAGCAAAATACTTGACCACAGATACAATATATTGCCACCTTCCTAAGACGACACACATGTCAGTTCTGGTCCTGTACATCTTTGGATCCTTAGAATATTGAGTTAGCAGAGCTCAGCACAACCAAATCATCCTGCGTCCATGAGAATTTCCACGCTGAAGAAAGACACAGATGGCATTAAAAACCCAGCATGTTTGGATGACTCTGAATTGCGTGCCAGAAAACGCCTCTTTACAAGATTCTGGAATGGCCAGTTTTGTAGCAGGCTTTTTTTGGGCCACTAACCAGCTCCCAAATAAAGACATGGAGACTTTTTTTTTTTTTTTTTTTTTTTTTTTTTGAAACAGGGTTTCTCTGTGTAGATTTGCGCCTTTCCTGGAACTTGTTTTGGAGACCAGGCTGTCCTCGAACTCACAGAGATCTGCCTGCCTCTGCCTCCCGAGTGCTGGAATTAAAGGCGTGTACCACCACCGCCTGGCAGAGACTTATTAATTATGAATGCTCAGCCTTAGCTTAGGCTTGTTACTTGCTAGCTCTTATAAATTATTTTAGCCTGTTTCTCTTCATCTGCATTTTGCCTCAGGGCTTTTTACCTTTATTTCATTCTGTATGTCTTACTCTGCATCCAGCAGCTGCCTCGATGGCCTTGGGCATCTCCCTTATTCTCTTCTCCCTTGTCTTCTCAAGCCCAGATTCCTCCTCCTCCTTATTCTCTCTGCCCACCAGCCCTGCCCAGCCCTCTACTGCCTAGCTATTGGCTGCCCAGCTTTTTTTACTAGACCAATCAGGTGCCTTAGGCAGGCAAGGTAAAACAGCAACACATCTTTACATAATTAAGCAAATGCAGCATAAACAAATAATACAACACATTTTTACATAGTTAAGGCAATGTTCTTCTACAACACAGTTTTCTACCATTTCCAACAGAGTTCTTGCCACTGAAATGACCTGGCCTGTCTCTCATGCTCAAGTGCCTTTAACTCAGCACCGTCTTCACTCTAAATGCAGGAGACTGAGGCCCAGAAAGCACACAGGAACTAGAACAAATGAAAGAGATTTTGAGCCTAAGAAGCCCAAGTAGCCCTGCCTTGCTCTCCTGCAGCCCAGAGGACCCTATATACACATGCTTAAAACCAGCATGATTTGAAAAGTAGCACAACTGGGTCCTGTCCACAGCCTGTTCTACACAGCATCCCATAGTCCCTCTCCCTCACCACCCACACCTCCAGGCCTTCAATTCTTCTTTCACATGCCACACACTAAGCTCTAAGGCCTCAAGACAGCAGTTCCATGCCTTATCTGCTGGTGGTCATACCTAGCGTTTATTGTACCTGCTGGACACAACATGTTCCTCACCTATAGCTTGGGGACTTCCTGAAGCGGCCCTAGGGCTCCAAGCACAGAGACAGGTGCCATGCAAGCCCACTGGCTCAGAAATCTAGGAACATGCTAGGGCAGAGTGCCATGTACCAAACAGCAGAGGTGTTCTTGCCAAAGGCTCACAAAGGGGAGGGATGTAAGCAGGTAGGGGACACTGACTCCTGTTCCAAGTGCCTCTCCCCTTTAGACTTGGGAACAGATGTAAAAGCAAGCTGCCTTTGGCCACAGATACCTTCTCTGGAATGTCCAGCTTCACTGAATAGCAGGTTCCCAAAGAACCCTATCCCTGCTTCTCTCCATCCTGGGAACGCAGGGCTTAGGCTGAGAACCATGCAGGGTGGTCCCTTGCCTGACAGAAGGCAAAGAAACCAAAGGACTGTCCCCACCCCAAGGTGGACTCCAGACAGTAACGAAGGGATATCATTCCCTCCCCATCCTGGGAATGGGGAGAGAGGCTCTGTGCTCTCCTAGGGAGGACTCTTGCTCAAGAACAGCTACCCAGGAACCATTATTCCACCATTCTAATAGCAAACTGACTTCCACAAGCCATTCAACACTGTGGGGACAGCTCTAACTTTCCAAGTGGCCAAGTTACCTTCCTGACTGGATTGGCTGTGCAAGCCTAGAGACCAGAATTCAACCCCTGGAACCCACAGACAAGAAGAAACTGATTTCACAAAGTTGTCCTTCTGACTGCTACATGTACACTGTGGCATGCACACCTGTGCATGTAAAGGGAAAAAAAAACCAAAAAACCAATAATAATAGCCAATACAATCATCAACAGATATGCAACTTTTATTGTGTAATTGTTGTGTGAAACAGCAGGGGGCGTCCAGTTGTCCTCACCAAAGCACAGTTCGGAGTACATCTCTCTCAGGTGCCAGTGCTCTGTCACCACAAGGTCACCTGCTCCAGGTCAGGCCAGCTCTCCAGGCTTCCGCTCTGGGTCTTCACTCCCTGCTCCATGCAGGCCACCTCTAGGACTACTCACGGCATGCTCACATTTCCTGACCTCACAGAACACCTAAACTTGGAAAGTGGGCCATCTACAAATTAATGCTACCATTATCCTTCTAAGAGGGAGAGAAAGAGACAAGGAGATCCAGGAAGAGGAAAACAGAGACCTCTCTGCAGACGAGGACACCAAAGGTTTTGGCAGCTATCAGAAGCTGAGGAGGTATGAGGCAGCCTCCCTCAGGACTGCAGGAAGGCAGGCAGGCAGGCAGCCCACTCCTTCGCACCCTGACAAGGTGAATGAATAAAGACTGCTATCTAGGGAAACTTCAGGACACTCATACATCCGCTTCGGTGGAGCACAGATTCGACAGTACCTAGGGAGTACTAGCTGCACCCAAGTCCCATGCAAAACTAGGGACCAGCAATGAATACCTCAGTCACGTGCTAACTCACATGCCACAAACAATACCTCAAAGTCCTACAGTGGCCTTGGGACTGAGGAGAGAAGATTAGGAGGGACATTTGTGTGGGACTTTGAAGGCTGAGCAGGACCCGAGAACAAGCTGTTACTTCCTTTGCTTTCACTATCTGCCAGTCCTCTCGGGAATCCCTGGCTTTCCCCGTGATCTTAACACGGGCAGGTTAGCACACAAGGCCTGTGTGCGGAGTACATGCACTAGAGGTGGAGTTTAGGGCTTTGTGAACGCTAGACAAGAGTTCTACCACTAAGTTATATCCCTAGCTCTTGGCTTTGATACAGGATCTCGCTATATAGCTCAGGCTACCCTTGAACTTGCCACGTAGCTCAGGCTATCCTTAACCTGCCATCTTCCACTCTTTGCTTCAGAATGTGATTACAGTGGTACATCATCAAGCTAGGTCAAAGTACACATGGGAAGTACATGACACATTCCCCTCAAGCCTTCCTAAACTCCCCAGTAAAGGATCCAGAGGCAGTAAATGGATCGCTGGCCTTACCAAGTCAAGTATCTCGACAGCATGAACTGAAGACCCACTTCCAAAGGTGCACAGGCTGTTTCTGCCCTGGACCGAAGTCAGCAAATTTCCCCTCTCTGTGATCTGACGTTTGGGGTGGTCCTCCAACACACTTTAGCTTGGAGAAACTGAGGAGCTCTGATGAGCAGGTGTGACTACAGAATTCTGGGTAAATGCTGAAGCCAAAGGTTGCTTTGAAAACAGTGACTACCAAGCTCCAGCAGCCAGAGTGCCAGGACACCGGTGAGTCTAGCAATGTGTGCAGTGCTTCCCTTCCAGCAACCACGGCGCCCAGCCCATGGCCACAGCCACAGCAGCCCCTGGAGCCATCACGGAAAGGTTACCACTAGCTCTACCACTTAGCCTCTGTAGCTTCAGTTTCCTTCACTAAATCACTTCGAAAAAAGTTGAGTATGATAAGATCTATAAAGCCTTGAACAGTGCCTGGAACACCATGGCATCCCACAGCTTTCACAAAATCGATAAAAACCCACACTTGAAAACCTGTATTTCTGCTCTGCTCCAATAATCTCCCCTGCTCAAAGCTGGCTCGGGCTTGCCAATTGCGACAACCATTATATTCCTAAGGAGCAGGACATGAGGAGGATATGGGAAACAAGTGACAAGATGAGGAAATTCCCACAAACCCCTCCGGTCATGAGGGACTAAGAGGCCAATGCCCTTGGGGGACCTGACCAATTCAGACACTCTTCTGTAGAAGCAACCCGAATTGAGAAAAGCCAGAGCATAGAAGATGTCCAGAACAGAAAGACAACCAGCAAAAAGCTAGTGTCCACGTCAAAACTTAGAGCTTCGTTAGAGATGTCCCCAAACCCATGCAACGGGAATGTAGGACGACCTCCGTTGTCTTAAGTCTGGGTGCAGGCGGAGAGGCTCGCTGATGCCCAGTGACCCGAGCGGGGGCGGGGCTGCGGTCGCCTGAGGTCCACCGCGTGCAGCGAGCTCGGGATACCGCTGCGGGCCGTGGGGATGGCACGCACACTTTGGATGCGTTCCTTTGTGCCGGGCACCGCAGTACCTCACGAGAGCGGCCAGCTCGCCGCAGCGGCGCGCCTCCAGGCTGCCCGCGCCCCCTCTCCACTCGCCAAGCTGCGCGCAAAGGCGCGCGACCGTCGCCACCAAGGCTGTCAGCGGAGCGCGACGAGCCCCCGCCCCGGCTGGAGGGGCCGCAGGCCCCGGCGTCCCGCACTGTTGCGTTTGCTGCCAGGGGCGCTCTCTGAGGACACCGCGGGACGCGTTCCGGGGTCGCCACCCCCTGCGGCCGCCCGGCCCCCGCTGCTAGCGCCTCGGGCAAAGTTGGCGCAGGCTCTCCTGGGGACGCGCGGGGCCGCCGTCAGGGCTCCGGCTGCCAGGCTCTGCCCCGGCTTTGTTCGCGCCCCGCGCCCACCTTCACTCCGCACCCCCGCGGCCCTGCCCACCTTCTGGATGGTCTGCTGTGTGACCTCCCCTTTGCCTCTCGGCCGCGCCGACGCGAAGGCCACGGACATGGTGGCGGCGCGGACTCAGCCCGTGATCATTGGGGTTTATTCTCCGGCTGCGCCCCGCGGCCCGAGGTGCCCATTCTCCGCAGCGCGGGGGCGGGGGCGCGGGGGGGGTGCCGTGCCGTGGGCTCGCCCGCCCGCCTGCCGCCAATGCGCGCCCGAGCCTCCCGCGCCCCCGCGCCTTAAGCCACTGCCTTCCGGGGCTGGGCCCCGCGCGGAGTCCCCCGGTGCCCGGCCTGCCCTCTGCGTCCAGCCCGCCGCCGCCGTGCCGCCCCCTGTGCTGGGCTTCGGTGGTACCGCCCGCCCAGCCCCGCCCCGCCGCGCCGCACGTCCCCCTGACGCCGGACGCCAGCAGCGTGGTCCGGGCGGGCGGGGCGCAGGCGGTGAGTGTGCGCTTTTGAGCGGCGGCGGCCCGTGCTCGCGCGTCCGCAGTGATGAGCTACGACCGCGCCATCACCGTCTTCTCGCCCGACGGCCACCTCTTCCAAGTGGAGTACGCGCAGGAGGCGGTCAAGAAGGGCTCCACCGCGGTGAGCCATCCCGAGGCCTGCGCGGCGGGGCGCACGGGGAAGCAGGGCACGCAGACCTGGGCGCAGGAGCTGGCGTTCTGCTTGCGGCGGGTGGCCCGGGAGGTGACGGGAACTGAATGGTGGCGACCTAGGTAGGGAGCCGGGCCGCGGAGGGCTGCGCCGTGCGCCCTGGAGAGCCGGGTGACTGTGCGAGGCTTCCCCGCTGCAGAACGTCTAGGCGAGCGCATCCCCGCGACTGGGCCGGGGCCATCTTGCGCGGCGCAGACGACGGAGGCCGCAGGTGCGCGCGGGCGGTGAGAGGCAGGCTGTGAGTCGGCGCCGGCAGGGACCTGGGGATCTCCCAGCTAGGCCCAGATCGGTGTTGTGAACAAAGGGCGGTTCGTCGGCCCTGCGAGGGTGACAGGCTACTTCCGGGTTCGCCTGCGCCACCGACGCTGGGTTCTGGTTCCGGTGGGCCTCCTTCGCCGCGCCCCAATTTTTGTTCAGGGACCTTAGCACCATTTGGAAATGGGACCGCCAGACACCTGCAAAGCATCAACAAGGAGATAGTTTTGTTTTTGGTTTTCCCGAGTCATCGGGTCTTCGGGAAACACACGTGGTTCTGAGTCTTGAAGCGCTTGCATTTGCCAAATATTTAATCACTTTGAAACTAAAGCCCCAAATCTTTTTTGGGTGACCTAACCCACCCAAAAACCTCAAGAATGAGCAGGCTTGGAGTTTCAGGCCTGTAACCCCGGCATTTACAAGGTTCAGGCTCGAAAATCTCACAAGTTCAAAGCCAGCCTGGGCCTCTAAAGTTAGTCTTTCTCTCTGTCCCTTTCTTGTGTGTGTGTGTGTGTGTGTGTGTGTGTGTGTGTGTGTGTGTGCGCGCGCATTCTTTTTTAAATAATTTTTTTTTATTATATGTGCTTTGTCATTTGGCCTGCAGGTATATCTGTATGAGGGTGTCAGATTCCCCTGGAACTGGAGTTGCAGATAGTTGTGAGCTGCCGTGTTGGTGCTGGGAATTGAACCGGGGTCCTCTGGAAGAGCAACCTGTGCTCTTAATTACTGAGCCATCTCTCCAGCCTCAAGAGATACTAGTGAAAGACCCTGTTTCAGAAAAACCTGTGAGGCTGGTGAGAGGTCTAAGTTGGTAAAATGCTTGCTCTGCAAGCCCGAAGACCTGTTTTGGCTCACCCCCACCTGTTCTGGGATATTTTCATCGCACAGTAACACTGCAGACTGTCAATAAAGTTTATCTTGAATCAGGGGCGGAGCCAGCAATCAGCTGACTGGAATTAGCCATAGAGAAGCCAGCAATTTTGATACAGAAGACATACAGAAGGAAAGGGTGGGGACTAGAGTTTGAGCTTCTTTTTGATTCTGGGAGGAGGGAAGAGATGTGTCTCTTGAAGTGTCTCCAGCCAATATTCAAGGTCAGCTAGTTGCTACTCAGCCTCTCTGAGCTAGCAGGTTTTCCCCAGCTTTTGACTCTTGGGTCTTATTGATATATAGAACAATAGAGACTTAAACCTACATATGGTGGCCGCAGCAGAGCTGGGGCCGAAGGATCAGAAGCCCGGCCCCCCCCCCCCCCCAGTGGCCGGTGGGGCGCATAAAGCAGGGAGAGGGGCCTCAGGCAATAATTAAAATATCAGCAGATTCATGTGCAGCTGCTAAACCGACAGAAAAACATCATTTGGCACCTCATAAATGTAGCAGTATTTTCTCTTTGGGACTGCTAGCCCACAAATAATGACGCAGAGACGTATTATGAAAGCTTGGCCTTAGCTTAGGCTTGTTCCCAGCTAGCTCTTATAACTCAATTAACCCATTTTTTTAAATCTACATTCTGCCATTACCTCTTCTTAGTTGTGCACAAAATCACACATGCACAAAATCACACACAGATTTCTTCTGCCTGTCTCTCTCTCACTCTGCCTGAAGTCCCACCTGTTATTCTCTCCTGCCTAGCTATTGGCCATTTAGCTCCATATTAAACCAATCAGAAGACACCTTAGGCAGAGATACATCTTCACAGTGTAAACAAATATTCTGCAACAGCCACCCAAGTTTTTAAAAAAGGCAGTTTCACACAGTGACATCCCTGGCATTCCTACTCCTAGGAGGCAGAGACTAGAGGATACCCTAGGCTTGCTGGTCAGCAAGTGCAGCATAATCTGTGAGCTCCAGGTTCAGTGAGAGACCCTGTGTCTCAAAAAATGTAAGTTGGAGGGACTGGAGATGGTGCAGTGGTTAGAGGGGGCAAGCAAAGTAGTGAGTAGTTTTCAGCACCCAGGTTGTGAGGCTCAAAACTGCCTTTAATTTCAGCTCCAGAGGATTCAGCACCTCTGGCCTCCATGGGCAATTGCACTCAGGTGCACAGACACAACTTATTTAAAAATAAAACGACTCTCGAAGTTTGAGAAGAGATTAAGGAAGACACCAGTGTGGCGTGGCCTCCATATATACTCGGGGACACATGAAACCATAGGAAAGCTCTGGAATCTGGGGGTGCCTGTCCCCGTGCTCCCACCTGCACCCAACTGTTTTCTCTGGACCCTGCAGGTCACGAGTCAGCACAGAAGGAACTTGTAAAATCACTCCAGACTAGGGGCAGTGTGGACAGAGCTTCTCCCTTGGTAGAACCTTGTAGAAGTTTCCTGTGGCCGGAAGATTGGGAACGGGGATGCTACCCCACTTCAGAGTCAGCTGCCACCCAGTTGTGCCCTCTGCCCAACTGCCTTGTCCAGGGATTGCTGCATTTGTTTCTGTTCTCTCTTGAAGGGTTAAATATCACTGAGGTACCCTGGGTTTATTGTGGGGTTTTTAGTTTTGGTGATGCTAGGCAAGCACCATTCCACATCCACAGTCCAGTTTCACTTGTTTAAACAGTGGCCACTTCCCCTTCTACAATACCAGGCAGAATGTTGTGTTAAACAATGGATAGTGGTTCACTTTGTAACACACTAGGTCCTACCAGCAGTATATGCTGTGTGAGCAGGCGTGATTGTGGCCTGGGGCTTAGTGTAACTCATAGACTTCCAGCATCTGGTGTAGTTCACTCAGGCCTTGGGAGCATGTGCAGGACTATTTAGCTTCAGAACTGTAACCACTTTAGTGGGTTTTTTTTGGGGGGGGGGGTTGAGACAGGGTTTCTGTGTGGAGTTTTGGTGCCTGTCCTGGATCTCGCTCTGTAGACCAGGCTGGCCTTGAACACAGAGACCCGCCTGGCTCTGCCTCCCGAGTGCTGGGATTAAAGGCGTGCACCACCACCGCCCGGCCCACTTTGGACACTCAGGTCCTAATAACTTGTCCTAGTCCACAGGAGTGGATCTAGGTCTTTGGTGTGGTAGTGTGTCAAGTGATAGGCCAGATATGGGTGGGCATACCTTCCTGTGGGACTGTTGCCCCAAGGCTTGTGCCATGTGCCTGGCTAACCCCACCCCACTCTGCTGTGCCAGAGATTAACAACTGTCCTGCTTACGTAATTCTTAAAATTGAATTTTGCATTCTCATTTAAGGTTGGTGTTCGAGGAAGGGATATTGTTGTTCTTGGTGTAGAAAAAAAATCAGTGGCCAAGCTACAAGATGAAAGAACAGTACGGAAGATCTGTGCTTTGGACGATAATGTCTGCATGGCCTTTGCAGGTACACTTTGGACCAGGGTGGTGAGTGGAGCTTTGGTTGGGATTTGGACATTAGGAGAACCGCAGTTGCTGGGTGATGGTGGACCCTCCTTGCAGGGATGGCAGTTGTCACCTTCAGCAGATCCAGCCTAGGAAGTCTCAGTCCCTGAAATAAAACTAGGTGCAGTCTAACTTGATTGCCAGTTGATATACTTGCTTCTTAGAAAGACTTGCAGAGGCTGGTGTGCCATCCTTGTACTCAGTTGTAGTGATGAGTTGCCCTGACCAAAGTCTCTGCCCGCTGGGCAGTGGTGGCACACGCCTTTGATCCCAGCATTCAGGAGGCAGGCAGGCGGATCTCTGTGAGTTCAGGGCCAGCCTGGGCTACAAAGAATCCCTCTGCTCTCGTTTCAGGTCTCACTGCTGATGCAAGGATAGTCATCAACAGAGCCCGGGTCGAGTGCCAGAGCCACCGGCTGACTGTGGAGGACCCAGTCACTGTGGAGTACATCACCCGCTACATTGCCAGTCTGAAGCAGGTAGGTGCTTACTCAGTCTCTGCTGTCGGGCGTCGTGTGACTTCATCTTGCTCCTACAGCACTGTTCTGTTGGTTCTGGCTTGGAGCCATTTTGACTCTGGTCTCTGGAGGGGAATATAAGCATTTGTCTTGCTACTCTGAACTACCATTTGCCAAGTAGTTGAGAGGGGGCTGAAAGGTGCTCCCACTCTGTGGTAAGATGCTAGTAAACTTTAGAGCCAGCTTGTAGTTGGAGCATACCTGTCTGCTGAGGTGACTTCTAAGTAGTCTCAGTTAAGCTGTGTGATGCAGAGGCTAGAGAGATGGCTCAGCAGTTAAAGGCATTGGTTGCTCTTTCTGAGGACTTGGGTTCAATTCCCAGCATCCACAAAGTAACTTAAAAACAGTCTGTAGCCAGGTGGTGGCGGCGCATGCCTTTAATCCCAGCACTTGGGAAGCAGAGGCA